CTCCCGGGGTTCACGTGATCCCCTTGTGCGACCTTCCGACAAGCAAAGTCAGTGAGGGGAGCCGGATTCACTTAACAAACAGGTCACTAACTTAACTAACTGCAGTGATTTACTTAATTTTGGCGAGGAAGGTCATAAAATGGGGCAAAAGTCACTTCACGCAGGTCCCACTTAATAAAAGCCGTTGTAACTTCGAACAGTCACTAAACGAAGGGTTGTAAATCTACCTGTCCTTTTCAAGGATATAGGTCAGATAGAGCAGGGGGTCTTCAAACTTGGCCCTTTTATGACTTGTGGACTTCAACTCCCAGAATTCCTCAGCCAGTGTGTCTACCTAAGGAATTCTGGGAGTTGAAGTCCACAAGTCATTAAAAGGGCCAAGTTTGAAGACCCCTGTTTTAGAACATGGGATACCTTTTATTATTGGCTAGAAAAATGAGATAAACAGGGGTCTTCAAACTTGGCCCTTTTATGACTTGTGGACTTCAGCTCCCAGAATTCCTCAGCCAGGCACCTGTGCCTGGCTGAGGAATTCTGGGAGTTGAACTCCACAAGTCATAAAAGGGCCAGGTTTGAAGACCCCTGAGGTAGAGAGTGACCATTTTATTGTACACTTAGGAAGAGGGAAAAAAAAACCATTGGCCTTAGAAAGTGATCTTGTTTACTCAGCCACCGCCCTACCTTCTAGCCGCAGTGATGCAAAAATGCAGAAGACAAACAAGCTGGTGACACACCTATTGTGGGTCAACAACGGGGGGAAAAAAATCAGTTCAGGATTCCTGCGTACGGCCTCAAGAGGAGCTAAGAAAGCTGGCTCAGATCTTTTTTCAAGACTTACAAAGGAAGATACAGCACAGGTAGTCCTCGGCTCACAACCACAAGGGAACCCAACAATACGGCAATTTAGGAGGTAGATAGATAAAATGTAATAAAATCTCCTCTGTTGTGGCAGGAAAGCTTGAAGGTCACCTATTATTTTAAATTTCCCATAATGCCTTTTGCTGATGGGGCATCGCTCCAGGGCATTATGGGAATTCAAGCTACGCTGTCTGACGCCCAGCCGCCTACAAGGGCCGTGTGCAATTCGGCAATGAGTCCACTACACTGGCTTCCCAAACTGAATAAAGTCCCCGACTTTCAGCCACTCCTTTAGCGACTGTTTGACGTTGCTGAACAAAGTGACTGGTCCTCATACTTACGACTGTTCCAGGATCCCAACGGTAAAGGGATCTAAATTTGGGTGCATGCATTCATGACAGTCGCAGCATCCTGAGGTCACGTGACCATCCATCCGTGACCTTCCAGCCGGCTTCTGACAAGCTAAGTCAATGCGCGATTCGCTTAAGGACTGCGTGATTCGCTTAACAACGGCAGTGTTTCCCTTAACCGATGCCAAAAAGGTTGTAAAGTTAGGCACGAGTCATTTAGCAACTGCCTAGCTTAGCAGGGGAGGTATTGCTCCCTTTTGTAGCTGCAACTCAAGGGCTGCCTGCTCCTGATCCATATGGGCGTTAAGGTCCAATTTTGCCTTACACAACTGGCCCCATTATAAAAAGGGAGTGACAGCCTTAACGCAATGTGCACAACTCAACCAGTAACACACAATTAAGCAAATCAGAGTTTTAACAGATTGCTCGAAAATTCAACTGCTCAATCAGCTTCAACAAACTGAAGCCCCCTTTTCCACTCCGCAAAGGAAAGGGGGGGGGAGAAAGAAATTCCTTCATTTCATTTTGTGTTATTTTTGAAGTCTGCACAACAGGCACATATTTATTTAAAGCAACTCCGGACTTCATTGAAGCCTCTTTTCCACTGGAAGGACTCTGATCCCGGGCATTGTGTGTCAGCAAAAAAAATGAGTTATGCCTTTCGGGGGGTCAAAAGTTGTGTTATTTTGCTCTCCAAGCTGCAGTAACTAAGGAACTCCTTTGTGCGTGAAAAAAAAAAAAAGAACAGGGCCACTAAGAGGGAAGCACAGGGGGTCCTCAACTTACGACTTCAAGCGAGGCCCAAATGTATGTTGTTCAGCGAGAGATTTGTTGAGTGAAATAGGCCCCTTTTTACGACTTTCCTGGCTAAGTGAATCTGGCTTCCCCATTGATTTTGCTTGTCAGAAAAGGGGATCACATGACTCGTAACCGTCATAAATATGAGTCAGCTGCCAAGCATCTGAATGTAAGTCACATGACCATGGGGATGCTGCAACGGTCATAAGTGTGAAAAATGGATATAAGTCACTTTTTTCCGTGCCATTGCAACCTCGAACAGGGACTGCACAGCCATTTGTCTGAAATGGTCTAGGCTTTCCTGCCTGAGCAGGGGGTTGGACTAGATGACCTCCAAGGTCCCTTCCAACTTTATTATTATTATTATTATTATTACTACTACCACTACTACTACTATTACTACTACTATTATTATTATTACTAAATGAAGGATTGTAAGTCTGGGTCTAGTTGTAAATACCATTATTGTTATAGTTGTTATTGTTAACGGTCGTTAAATGAATCAGTTAAGCAAATTTGGCTTCCCCCAATATCCTATTATGCAGGGTGTAGGGAAAAAAAAAAGTAGAAAAGCTTTCTTGGCCTGTAATATTTATTAGAAGCCCAGGTGGCAGATACAGGTTTTTCTTCCTCCTGGGTGCAACTCCAGCTGTGGAACTCCCTGCCACAAGATGGCAATTTTGGCCAGCTCAAAAAAAGGCTTGTACAGAGCAGCTCCGCTTCTTTCGAAAACGGGCCCCCGAGGAGAAACTGGAGGCCGAAATTGAGAAATTTTGCTACCCGATAAGGCAGGTTTGCCATTAGCAGATTCTCTCGAAGCCATAAAACGGGTAATAAAATTTAACTTTGCGATTCCCCTTTTGCCATCTCCTGACACTCAAAGCCAGTGGGGGAAGCCAGACTCACTTCACAACGGTGTGACTGACTTCACAACGGCAGCGATTCAGATGTGGCAAGAAAGGTTGTTAATATGGGGCAAAAAAAAATCACTTGTCTCACTTAGCGACAGAAATGAGCTCAAATGTGGTCGTTAAGTCGAGGGCTACCTGTATACTTATCAGTATTCAACTCCGGGGTCAGTGCGTGTGTGTGTGTGTGTTGTGTGTTTGTTTGTCTTTTCTAACGCACATTTTTAAACGTTTTTGTCTAACTTTGTTCCGTTTCTGCAAAATCGCCTTTTGCTTTGGAGCTTGTCTTTTAATTTTCTGACTAAAATAAATAAATGATTGGGGGGGGGAAAGAACCATAAAACGGATACACCTCCACCGTCTCAGGTTCCAAAGCTCCACTGCCACGACGACCCTGCAGGGCAGGACTGCGCCCTCCCCAAGCATCGCTGACCCGCAGCCAGCCAGCCGGGAGTTGCCCCAATGAATGACACATCGGCCGGGACAGGCAATTCCGTTTCTCCTCTTTCAATCACTTTGATTCTCGACCCACAGAGACAAGCCGGGGGTGCAAATCGGCCGGGTCAGCATCGTAGCCCTTCCTTCCCGCAAGCAAGTTTTGGCAGAAACCTGGTTTCGTCATCCTTTCATTCCAGACTCTGCCAGGGAGATCAACGGAGGACGAGTCTCGGTGGAAAGAGCCAGAAACGAGGAGAAAAACTGCCCTGGGAAAGGATCCAAATTTTCTGCTTTCCAGAGAGGTCCAGCAACAGCAATCTCTGCCGGCTTTGGGGCCATTAAACCATAAATAACAAGAATTACTCCATTCTCACCCTTCTCAAGTGCCCAGCAAAACCACATTCTCCTTTCTCCCGTTTCCTGGCTTACGGAACTGTTCCTAGCCTCCCATTGCGAAATCCCCCTTCGGTCTGTAGCTTTGCAAACAAACTATTTTGCTCTATAGCAATTCAGTCCGGCAACTTTTAAGACCTGTGGATTACAACTCCCAGAATTCCTAGCCAAGCTTGGTTTGGCTTGGCTGGGGAATTCTGGGAGTCGAAGTCCACAGGTCTTAAAAGTTGCCAAGATTCTGTTCCACCATCTTTGGTCTGTAGGCCAGCCAACCAGAAAATATAAGAGGGGGATACCGAAGTAGAACCGTTATTCCTATTTTTTTAAAAAATAATTATAATCTTGAAGGCCTTGGGAGCGCCATGGTTACCAATATAAGCGGATGGTGGTGAGCTTGGTGGCTGTACAGATGTTCATGAACCACAAGGCCAGGCTTGGGGGAAAGGAGGCTAGGAGTAATGCACATCTGGGTGGGGAGCTCACAGATCCTAACCTCCTCCCAAAGGCAAGGGACACGTCTAAAATTAGCTGACTCTCTTTAAAAGAAAACGTTTAAAGTTTCCAAAGGAAAGCTGGATTGCAACTCAACTGTAGCTACCCTTTCACTGCACAAACCAACATTGGCTAGGGGTTGCACCCAATATTAAATCAGCCATAAACTGTGGGGTCAAAGACAGTTGTGGAACAATGGCCCCAAAAAAAGCCTGCAAACATCCAGACAGCCACCAGATGGCACCAAAACCCATCCGCGCTTGGCCACCTAGTGGCCGTCAGGAGAAGCGCAGCCCAGCTTTAGCTCACTTCCAAACGCGCTTGTCTTTGCCAACTTGGTGATCCGGAAGATCTCGGCCAAAGAGGGCCAAGACCCCCCCCACTCGAACTCCCAGGACTACAAGTCTCATCATCCTTTCTCAGCAAAATGGGAGTCGCCCTCCCAAGAGAAGGCAACGTTCCAGGAAAAAAGGCCAAACCGAAACGGGAGGGGGAAAAAGAAAGGGAAAGGAGCAGAGTGGGGGAGTGAAGAAAGGACGGGACATCGAGGAAGGCGAGAAGGGCGTGGGAACCCTAGAGATCATCCACGCGGCCAGCCCAGACGCGGCGCTTCGCAAAGCCACGTGCGGAGGGGAGACTCCCGCTGGCCGCTCCACGTGGAGGAGAAGAACCCCCCCCCAGGCTGGGGGTGTCTTCCAGGCGGGGTTCCCCCCTCCCCGTGATCACCTGGGGGTCCCCCTTTCCCCGCTGTCCCCCGACTTACTTTTCCTCCGCGGAGAGTGGCTGCGAGCGCCGCCGGATTAAGCCAAGCCAAGCCGCGCCTTACGCTCGCCTCCCACGCCCGGCTCTGGCTTTTAAGGCTGATGTCAGCGCTCCTCCGAGGGGAGGTGGCGACGCCTCCCCCGGGGGGGCAGGAAAAGAAAAGAAAAAGGGGAAAAAAAAGAGGGAAAGAAGAAGAGAAAGAACTGGGAGAGGCCTTAAAGGCGCAAAGAGGCAATTCGGAGTCCCCTGTCTGGGTGGAATCCGGAGCAGCGCCGGCGTCTTTGGGGGAAAGGCTCTACTCCGGAGTAAGAGTCTTGCTCCGGAGTAAGCCGCGGGCGAGCCCAATTGGGAGCGGCGCTTTTTCTGGAGGAGGGGCGGATTTGAGCCGGGATCCCGATTCCCACGTCAAGGGGATGGGACACCCTTTTGTCTGAAATGGTCTGGGCTTTCCTGCCTGAGCCAGGGGTCGGACTAGAAGACCTCCAAGGTCCCTTCCAACTCTTGTCGTTCCGTTAAACTCGTTTAGCCCTCTCCCGAAGTGGCTGAACTACAGTTCCCAGCATCCCCCCCGCCGGGAGGTGGGAGTTCCTATTCTTAGGGAGCTGGTTGACCCACATCTGGAGGGGGGGGGGATGACCCTCCACCCCCCCCCCAACCAAAGCTCAACACACAGCTTTACGGGTCTTCCCCGTCTGCTCTTGCTTTCTCTGGACAAATCGACCCATCCCCCTCAATCTTCTAGTCCATAAGGTTGCACAATTTAGCCGAAATACCTGGGATTCTTCAAAACAAGGCAGGATGTTGCGTCCCTGACCCAGCCTAAGCCGTTTTTTTCTAGCCTGAAGTGACGCAACCACAATTGCCTCACTAGAGATAAAAGAGTTTTTTTTTCCTCTGCAAGGACAGCGCATTTTCACCCATCCACATCTGCAACACACATCTGCCTTTAGCCAGGAAGGAGGGGGAAACAATGTGGCTCCACTGTCTTGGCCAGGGATCCTTTCAGTTCTCCCAAAGAGACTGGACAGCCATCTGTCCGGAATGCTACAGGGTCTCCTGCTTGAGCAGGGGGTTGGACTAGAGGATCTCCAGGGTCCCTTCCCAACCCTACGACAGGTAATCCTCATCCACAATTAACGCCCCAAATTTTCTGCTGTTGAGCAGTTGTCAATGGAGTTTTTGACCCATTTTACGGCCTTCCTTGTCACCCTTGTTAAGTTAATCATGGCTTGCTAAGTGAGTAACACTTAAAAGTGAACTTGGCTTCCCCCCCCCCCGTCGACTTGGCTGGTCAGGTGGTCGCAAAAGGGGATCACGTGATGCCGGGACACTGCGACCGTCGTAAATACGGGTCAGTTGCCAGGTGTCTGAATTTAGATCACGTGACCCTGGGGATTCTGCAACGGTCGTTAAGTGTGAACAGTGATCGTAAGTCACTTTTTTCGGTGACTTAACCTCAGTCACTAAACAAATAGTTGTAAGTCAAGGTGTTGTGTGATCAATAACTTCTAGAGAGGCTGGTCTTTTTCATCTCTAGCACAAACCCCTCCCTTACACATACACACACACATACACACACACCTTCCAACTTTTGTCATTTGGTTCTAATTCTGTGGGTCAGGGCTAAACCATTTCCTGAGTGGGTGACCTACACACAAAGCCAGAACGGAAGCCCCGAAGCCCGACAGATTGTGTGAATGCCAGTTGAAGTGCTTCACACAACAACAGAGGGAATCGTCTATGCAGAAAAATGGAATTTTTTTAAATTCCCACCATGGATGACGGGTTGCAAAAGCTGATGGGAGTTAGCAGAGAAGGTTAAATTGATTGCTTGAATTAAAAGAATATGACTAAATTTTGTTTCTGCTTGGAAACTGCTTCTGGACTTTGTGCTGGAGATGGGAAAAAATATATGAAACTTGATTTTGGGTTCTGCGGATTAGATAGGACTGTGGGTATGCAAATGGCTAGTACACATTACTATGCTAAAGTAAAAAGTTGAGGTTGCATGTTATTATTTTACTGCGCTAAAAATAAGTCCGTTCTTTTCCTTTCCTCTTTTACCCTACACTTTTTCCCTCTTCCCTTTTTCCTCCCCTACTTTTCATTTTTTCTTTGTATTTTATCTTTCAATAATTATACACACACACACACACACACACACACACACACACACACACACACGTATGTATAAAAAAGGAAAAGAAATGCGTTTTGCAAACAGGACACCGAGCCAGCTGAATCTTCGCAAGGAAGTCTCTCTCTCTCTCTTTTTCCCTCCGGGCAGCTCCTGCCTCCATCCCTTCGGGATGCACGTCATTTGCAAGACAAAACCAAATTTGGGAAGACAGGAAACTAGAGTTCAAAAACCGCCACCCCCTTCCCCAAGCTCCGAGTCATCCACTCTCAATCCTGTCTCAAAGAAACTTTCTTTCCCAGCAAAAATTAGCATCATAAAATTCCGCTTTTCTAAACGTTTGGAGGGGGCAGCTTTAAAAGTCTGCTAAATCTGCCTTATTTATTTTTTTTCTCTTTTGGCTGAAGGCAGATGGGGAGGAGAAATAACGGGAAAGGGAATTAAATTAAAAAACAAAAGAAATACCAACCCCCTCGTACGCTGCATTCCTTTTGAGGCAGACGTCAGCTCTCAGCTATGCAATGCCCAATGACATAATTGTATGCCCCCCCCCTTGCTTCCCAAATGCGAGGGGGGGGAACCAGCTCTGGGGATTAGGTAGCCTGTGCTGCAGCCCCTCCCCAAATTGGGAGGGTGATGCTGGTTGGAAATAGAGAGAAAGGGACAAGAATGAAGGTGATCATTGCTCTAGGCCAGGAATCTCCAAACTTGGTGATTTTCAGATTTGTGGACTTCAACTCCCAGAATTCCCTAGCTTGGCAATTATCCTTAGCATAGCTGGCTGGGGAATTCTGGGAGTTGAAGTCCACAAGCCTTAAAAGTCATGAAGTTTGATACACACACACACACACACACAACCCTTGCTTCGGGTCATCAAATCTGTTGCGCCTGTGCAAAGAAAAAAAAAAACAGATCACCCAGATCCCTGTTGTCTACACGTTAGGATCCACTTGGCCCCTGGCACGTATTTAGGACCGTTGCATCGTCCTGGGATCAAGGGATCTGTTAGTAACCCTTTCCAGCCAGCAAAAGTCAAGACTGGCTCTACAGCCGCAAGATTCGCAGCAATCTGCTGAACGACTGCGGGGGGGGGGAAGGCCGCAAAGCGAGGCACGGCTCCCTTCACAACCTGCCATCCAAAACTGTGGCTTGAGTGTATGTCAAGGGTGACCTGTACTTTCCCTGAAGGATGAAGCAACACAGCCTGAAGCAGAAGCTTTTGTGAGTCAAAAATTGGCACACTCCGGGATCAGCAACCGAAAACGTCAGCCCTGATTCACATCTGCCCTGCAACTGGTGACCCCGTCTTGTCGGTGCAAGCCAAGAATTCCCCATGAACTTTGGCACCCTTTGGATGCCCCCCCCCCCCAAAATGCAGAGCCCTTCCAACTTCTGGGGTTTAACCGGAGGGCCCTGTCCTGACTCTACAGCAGGGGTGTCAAACACGATCGCATTGTGGGCTGTATTGTGACGTGTTTTGCCCTTATGAGGCCGGGATGGGCGTGCTGTGCCCGTGCGGTTGGCATGTCTGCTTCACAGGAAGTCCTCAAAGCAACTGCCGTTGTTAAGTTACCAGCTCAACAACTCCAGCGATCCCACTTAACGGTGGCAAGAAAGACGTAAAGTGGAGCAAAACTCAAAACTTTAATTTTGGGTTCCGTGGTGGACACAAATCAAGGTCTGTCTCTATAGCAGGGGTCTCCAACCCCCGGTCTGTGGACCAGCACCGGGCCACGGCATGCCGCCAACCAGTCCACGCAAACAAAGCCAAGCCCCATCCACGGGTTGCAGGCAGCACACAACAAACACGCACTCTCCGATCCGTGGAAAAACCTTTCTCCATGGAACTGGCCCCTAGTGCCCAAAAGACTGGGGGCCTGTGCTGTATAGGTGGTCCTCCACTTGCAAAAGCTCGCTTAGTGACCGTTCAAAGTTACCACGGCACTGAAAAAAAGCAACTTACGACCGTTTTTTTCACACTTATGACCGTTGCAGCATCCCTGATCAAAATCCGGCCACTTGGCAACTTATTTAGGACGGTCGCAGCATCCCGGGGCTACATGATCCCTTTTTACCCTTTTCTGACCAGCAAAGTCAACAGGGGAAGCTCAATTCATGTTACTAATTTAACATCCGCAGTGATTCACTTATCAACGGTGGCTAAAGGGGGCAAAATCCCACTTAACCAATGTCTTGCTTAACAAGAAGACATTTTGGGCTCAACTGCGGTCGTAAGTTGAGAACTACAGTACCCGGACTGGCGTTCTTTGGCTAAGACCGGCACAAAAGCAACTCCATGCCAGGCAGGATTTTTTTGGGGAGGGGGACTCGTTTCAAAAGCAGTGGTCTCTTCCACCAGGTCATGTAAGCCCAAAATTTGGGGCGGAGCTTAAGAGGGCAACAGGTGAGCAGTTTCGGGTTTACGCTCTCCATTTTTACCGTCTACTTTAGCATTTTTACTCTTCACTTTTCAATTAATCTTTTAAACGGTGTTGCCTGATAGAAGGCCAGCTATCTGCTCCAGCCGTAACTTAAAAACTAATGATCAGAATAGAGCTTGGAAGGGACCATGGAGGTCTTCTAGTCCAGCCCCCTGCTCAGGCAGGAGATCCTACTTCAGACAAACGACTGTCCAATCTCTTCTTGAAAACCTCGAGCGATGAAGCACCCCCAAGGTCTGGAGGCAAGTCGTTCCACCGGTTAATTGTCCTCACTGTCAAGGAATTTCGCCTTCATTCCAGGTTGCTTCTCTCCTTGATTAGGTCCCATCGGTGGTTTCTTGTCTTCTGGTGCTTTGGAAAACAAGTTGACCCCCCTCTTCTTTGTGGCAGCCCCTCAAATAGTGTAAGACTGTTATCATGTCCCCCACTAGCCCTTCTTAATAATTCTCAATTTGGGATTTAAGAACGGGGAAAAAGAAGAATCAGCATATCCACCCTGAATTTGGCCCCCAGTCCTTGGAGGCAATGAAGCTGTGGTCTTCCAGATGCTGTGGGATTCCATCTCCCATCATCGCTGACCACTAGCCACAAGTGAATTAGGACTGGGGGAGAGGGTCAGATCTGCTCCACTTGCTTTATTTCTCTCCCTTCCCCTTGTCTGCCTCCAAACAAGCCCGCAGACCTATTCCCAAGTTACATGCACACCTTCAGTGACTCAGCTCCCTCTTTTTTGCAAACCAGCTCTTCAATTCCATGCTAATTTCATGTTTAAGAATTTGCAAGACACCAACTTTTTGGTAAAATGTCCTTTTTTTTTTCTTTTCCTTTCAGCAAAGCCCCCTTTTACCCAACATCCCACCACCCGCTTCTTCTGATCTAGAATCCTGCTGGAAATAAAGCACGCGTGTGCGTTCACACCCACCAAGACACCCACAAGGGTGGTGTCAATGTTATTTTTCTTCCTGCCTGGATAAAACACTCGAGATTTGGGAAAAAAAATACTTGCAAAAAATAAAATAAAAAATTCGCCCGGTATCTTTGGAAGTCTGAGGTTCCAAAGCAAGTTCTCCTGCATGCCTCTAGAGGGCAGTTAGCATTTAAGTTGTCCCAAAGCTGCCCTCTTGTGGACAGAGGCCAAACTGCACCTCTCCCAAAATCCCAGGGAGGGTTTTTTCTTTTTTTTTAGAATAAGGTGGCTTGCTCAAATCGCTCATCCTTCCCGCTGGGGTCCAACTTCTGCCGCCGTTGCTGAATCATTTCTCGGCGACGGCGGTAAGCGAGGAATTCTTTGCGCAGGGCGGCGCAACGCTCTTCCGGGCTGGCCAAGGGCAGCGGAGAGCTGGACCCATCCAAGGTGCCGACCGACTGGGAAGTAGAAGGGGACGTTCTGCTGGATTCGGCTGAGCCTCTGAAGCCTGCAAAGGGGAGGAAGAGGAAGACATGGGTTCAAGTCACGACAACCCCATGCTCTGTCTAGGGAAAGGAGAACGGGATTAATCGGCTGTGCTGTCATGGTTCCGACAGACAGAGACGAATAAAGCAGAATTTTGAGGCTTGGGAATTATTTATTTAATTTATTTAACCAAAAAAAAAAAAAAGATGTATTCATTTAATAGAAAATTAATAAATCTAATCATCCTCATCCTGTGCAGTAGTTTCCAGCGGTTTTGATCGCTTGCAGCAGCTTCGGCATCGTCCCAAGGGGGATTAATAATCTTAAAACCTTCCTGAAGTACTTGGAACAAATCTAATACATAAATTTAATAAATAAAATCCCTTTTGGAATACTCTTTCCTACAAGCGGTGTGTGTGTGTGGGGGAAATGTAGTGTGTGTCTCTGCTTACTCTGCTTCTCCAATTCCTGGGCCGCGATGGTGGAAGTGGGCCTCTTGGGGTCCCCACTCCGATAAAGTTGCAAGGCGTCCAGTAGCTCCGATTCCAGAGCGAACTCCGAGTCCCATTCGTAATTCTCGTCCACAGAAGTATTCCTCCTGGAAGAGATTTAAAGGGAGTTCAGGCAGATGGGGTGAGAAAAAATGCAAATATAGAGATGGCTTATCGCTTTAACAAGCCAGCGTGGCGGAGAGGATGAAGGCAGGTTAGAAACCAGGAGGCCCTGTGTTCGAGTCTTGCTGGGACACAAAACCTGCTGGGTAACTCTGGACCAATCACCAGGAGATGGTGAGTTCTAGTCCCGCCTTAGGCAAAAGAGCCTGCTGCATGACTTTAGGCCAATCACCAGGAGGCTGTGAGTTCTAGTCCCGCCTTAGGCACGAAAGACAGCTGGGTGACTCTGGACCAATCACCAGGAGGTTGTGCGTTCTAGTCCCGTCTTAGGCATGAAAGATGGCTGGATGACTTTGGACCAATCACCAGGAGACGGTGAGTTCTAGTCCTGCCTTGGGCCTGACCCCAAACCCAATTTTGCAACTGTTCTTGTTCCTGTCGGCCGTTAAGCGAATCACTGCAGTTGCTAACTGTGACATGACATGGCTGCAACTTGCCGTCTTCAAACTTGGCAACTTTTATGACTTGTGGACTTCAATTCCCACGCGTGCCTGGCTGAGGAATTCTGGGAGTTGAAGTCCACAAGTCTTAAAGTTGCCAAGTTTGAAGACCCCCTGAAGTAAAAGATGCTTACAGGGAACATCCCCACCTGGTGGATACATTGGGAAATAGCAGCGTCTTATCCATCTGTGGCACGGTCAAAGCAATTTCCTGCCAAGATTTGGGATAAACATAGCTTATTTTTTTTTTTTTTCATTCCCAAGGCCCTCAACACCTCCTCAAACTCAACCAGGCCACTTTTAGCATCTGAGCCGATCTCGAAGAGAACTGAAGCGGGTTGCGTTCACACAACCACGCCAGACGAAGTGGAAATAACCAGGCAAAATTCCTGACGCAACGCAGCGTAAGGACCTGCCTTTAAGTGTAAACTGCTGTCTGAAACCTGACTAGGGGTGTTTCGCATAACATGGTTTGAGGTCAACTCGGTCACTGGGCGGTCTGGGTTAAGTTGCTAAACTGCATCCTCTTTTAAGGCCGAGTATTTTTAGGGAAGATGGTGAAACTTCCACTTAACAAACCGAAATTCCTCAATTTCTGAAATTCAGTGCTGAAGCTAAATAATAATAATAATAAAAATCTGTATTTTCTGTAACCCTGTCTTCCTCTTTCAGAACATAATTTGCTTCCTCTTCTGCCTGGACCACGACAGCCGAGTAACCAGATGGATTCCCATCTTCTGCGATTAAACCAACATTGTTCAAAGCTGGCCAACACCGGGGTTAATAAAATCTTAAAATTAAAAGATTCCATCTCCTAGCAGAACCTAGTTCTGGAAAAACGCCTTGGATTCACAAGAGAAGTTGCAATTCCACCAAAGGTCGCCTCTTGAGGTCCTAAGGAGGAAGGCCCAGCCTTAAGGACTAGAAACTTGTTAAAACTTCCTTTTATTTTTTTTGAACCTCACAACCCTTCTCCGGGGACTGTCTAGGCCAGATTCTTACAAAATGCTCAGCCTCAAAACACACACACACACACACACGGATTCAACCTCACCTTTTCTCCAACACAGCAACTAAACTCTCCTTTTTGGACCTGCTCTCTTCTCCCACGGTGCTGCTTTGGCAACTGGCCGCTTCCCCGACGGGGGAACTGAGGTAGCTGCCCGCCACGGAGGTGGCCAGCGACGGTGGTCTTAGGAAAGACGCACTTCCCCGTCCGCTGCTTTGGCTGGTCAAGCTGCCCCTCAGGAATTTCTCCGAGGGGAGTGGGAAATTGGCAGCGGGGGGCTTGTGCGTCTCGGGGGGCAGCTCGGGCAAGGGGAGGGCCAAGCAGGAGACCTCCACCTCGGCACAATCCGGAAGGGGCTGGGAGGCTGGTGATGATGATGAGGAGGAGGACAGCGTCCATAACCATCCTTGGTCCTTTGGTGGTGGGCTCTCGGCCCTGGAACAGAGGTACAGTGGACAAGCCAGGGACCCCGGCAAAGGGGTGTTCGCGGGACCCGTATCAGAATCCGGAAGTCGAAGGAAGGAAGTTTCCCCCAGCTGATCTTGAACGGAGCTTGAATCGGGCTCCATGTCCATGTAGATCGGACCAGCTGGCCTGTCCTGATCCGGCGCAACAGGCCGCCTGGGGCTGCCCAGAAGGCCAGGCTCCTGGGGGACGGTCTCCAGCAAGGGTCCATCTTCCTTCTCGTTCTCCTCTGGAGGCCAGTCACCATCCACATTCATCTCTTTGAAGAAGGGCAAACTCAGATACTGGAGAATCCCGCTCTGGGCAGAATTGCTTGCCCTGGCCTGGACGCTGGGTGACGGAGATGTCGACTTTGATGTACGGCGAGGCGAGGAGGAGCAGGAGGAGGAGGAGGAGGAGGAGGAGGAGGGAGACAGTGCCACGGGGTCCGGGAGCCACTGGGTATCCTGGACAGCACCGTACGGTGTGGCGGCCACCGGGCTGATGCTGACGATACGCAAGGGCTCGGCTTCCTCCGTCAGGCTGCTACTGCTGTAGTCAAAGTAGCGGCCTTGCCGGTGGCCGGAGGCCTTGGCTTCCTGTTGGGCCTGGCGGGCGTTCTTGGGTCTCAGGTGGACACTTCGGTGCCACGCGGGGTCCTTGGGAGGAGAGAAGAGTTGCAGATAGGGCTCCGGTGGGCCCTCGCCGTCCTCCAGGCGGTGTTCTCGCAACTCGTCCTCGCTATACACTACAAAGCGACCGTCGGGACCCCGGGAGATGCGTTCGAGAGGACGCAGCTGGTCCACATGACTCTCGTAGGGGACGTAGTTGGTGCTGTTCCTGGCGTGGCCACCCGAGAGATTGAGACTGAGGTTACGGCCAGCTTTCTCGCCCCAGAAGAGGGTCCGGTGAAGACTCTGGTAGGGAGACCCTTGAAGTTTCAGCTTCATAATGCTGTCTGGGCTAGCTGTACCTGTTGAATGCCTGTTGGGGAAGAGAGAGACATAGGTTGCTGTGCTAACAGTAGTGCAGAGAAGAGCAACAAAGATGATCAGGGGACTGGAGGCTAAAACATATAAGGAATGGTTGCTGGAATTGGGCATGTCTAGTTTAATGAAGAGAAGGACGAGGGGGGACAGGATAGCAGGGTTCCAGTATCTCAAAGAAGAGAGAGTCAAGCTATTCTCCAAAGCACCAGAAGGCAGGATGAGAAGCAATGGATGGAAACTCACCAAGGAGAGAAGCAACTTAGAACTAAGGAGAAACTTCCTGACAGTGAGAACCAGTGGAACAATCTGCCTCCAGAAGCAGTAAATGCTCCAACACTGGAAGTTTTTAAGAAGAGACTGGATGGCCATTTGTCCGAAATGGTATAGGGTTTCCTGCCTGAGCAAGGGGTTGGACTAGAAGACCTCCAAGGTCCCTTCCAGATTCTATTCTATTCTATTCTATTCTATTCTATTCTATTCTATTCTATTCTATTCCTATTCCTATTCTATATATTTTATTCTATTCTATTCTATATTCTACTCCACTCCTCTTGCTCTCTGAGCTTGGTTATTTCCTTGCAGACATTTAATTACCCAACTAGGTAATGTCATGAGTGATGAAGCCGGAGCTACAAAAATTCTCTCAGGAAGAAGAAAACAGCAGATCAAGGAAAAGAGGCTGCAGGAGGAACCAGGAAGAAGAAATGTAACTAGTGCAATGGTGCAACTTACTGTGTAGAGAGAAGCTTCTTGGTGGAGGAAAACACAATGGGTAGATCTGGAAGGTCACGAGAACACAAAAGGGGAAATTATACGCAAAACCAGGCAATTAATAAAACAATCTGGCAACAGGAAGGACCGCTGCCAGGCCACAACCTGCAACCAGACACACACCTCTGGACTTGAGTTCTCAGATCCCTCAAGACCCAGCCCAGTCCACCTCACGGGATTGTTGCTGTGGGGAAAATGGGAGGAAGAAGGAATAATACTCTGTCTGTTTGCTGTGCTGATATATTTATAAAAATAATAAGGGCAGGGTTTAAAAAAGTAAAAAATTAAAAACAAAAATCATCGCATTCCATTTAAAAAAAAATCAAATTTATACTAGGTATAAAACAGAGAGGAAAAAAAAAGATAATGTCTGGTAAATAAATAAATATATATATATATATATATATGAACAATATTAAAAACAGAAGTATGATTCCTCGGTGTATACATGTTGAGAGTAAAACTTGATCACCAGGAAAAGTTAAAACATTAAAAGTTTTAATAGTAAAAAGTAGAAACCTAGCTTTCGTTGGCTCCTGCCAACATCATCATTTTAATGTTTTAACTTTTCCTGGTGATCAAGTTTTACTCTCAACATATATATATATATGTGTTTTCAGAGGCCAAGGTAGGATTCACCAAGAGGCTTTTACAGCCCAGCGAAGGGCTGACTGGTGTGAGGTTTGGCACATAGTGAGTTGAGTGTTTGCGGCAGTGTTTTTCAACTGTGACAACTTTAACATGAGTGGACTTCCACTCCCAGAATTCCCCAGCCAGTATGCTTTAAGAGCTTCTGAAATTTCCAGTTGGAAGGAAAAGAAAAACAAAATAAGTTTGTAGCCATCCCTTAAATACAAATCAAGAAGAGCCTCTTTTTCCCCCAAGTGTGGCAACATAAAAACCAAATAGTGTTGTAACTTTAAAAACATTCACTAAAATCAGATACCTTTTGAAAACAAAACTAATACTTTTGGACAGTGAGTATCAACAAGATTTAATGCTACAAAAATGAGTTTGGGTAGAAACTTGGCAGTAGGCAACTAACAGAAAGCTGAGGTTTTTTTAACAGGCTGTCTCGTCTCGCTAAATGTCAAAAAAAAAAAAGAGAGAGAAGAATTTGCAAAATAAAGATACCCAACTATAGCTCAAAAGAGACTTTTGCATAAAGCAGTGTTTCTCAGCCTTGACTGCTTTAAGATGTGTGGTCAGCCAGGTGTGCATTCTGGGAGTTGAAGTCCACAAGTCATAAAAGGGCCAGGTTTGAAGACCCCTGCTCTTGATTTTCTGCCTACCAAAATTTTTCATTTTGACCAAAGAAGCTACTTGGATGAGTAACAAACACCTCTCAATTTTAACAAACATTGGTCCAGTTGCCAGGATTTAACCTTTTTTTTTTTTTTAAAAAAAAACCAACCTTCCTTCTCCTGTACCGCTGCCACTTTTCTTATCACGCCACTGTGGCTTTTTGGGGGGGCTTACCTTGCCTGCGTTTGCGTAGACGGGCTGCTCTCCTGCGGTTCATGACACAGGCTGCCATGGTGCTAAAAATGACAGCCGTGCTCAAGAAGCAGACGCCCCCAATCACGCCAGCCAGCACAGGCTGCGGTAGCATTTCGGGGAGCTGAGTGCGAGAAGGGTACACCTCCATTCCTGCAAACACCGAAGCAAAACAAGAGCAATTAAAAACGTCGTTCCGTTGCTAAGTCACGTCTGACTCTTCACGACCCCCCCTGGACCACGGCTGGCTCCCCCGTCCTCCCGTCTCCGACTTTGCCCAAATTCATGTTCATTGTGTCAATGACACTATCTAACCATCTCCCCTTCTCCATCTGCCTTCCATTTTTCACTACCGTATTTCCCTGAAAATACGACCGGGTCTTATATTAATTATTGCTCCAAAAGACACATTGGGTCTGGTTAGGGCTTATATTTGGGGAAATACGGTACCAAGTGCGTCCACCTGGCTAATGATCTTATTTTGGGGGTGGGGCTTATATTACAAGCATCCTGAAAAAAAAAAAAAAATCAAGTAACATAGTTTTAGTCTTAGTCCCCAAAGTCAATTCAAACAGGTTGAATCACATCCTTGGTGTCAATGCTGCAAATATTGTATATTCTTGCATTTGACAATATGTAGAATTGTCTGGTAATTATGGAGTTAATACAGAGCAGAAGGGGGGTTGGGGGTAAAGCCCGGGAAAGAAAGAGGAAGAAAACATTAGTTCACACTAATTGGGTAATGTGAGATATGAGGGCTAATTTAGGGAGGGAACATGCTGATAATTTAACTGCTCAGAGGAAGAGAACTTAGATCCTAGCATCCCTCCGTTGTGCCTGTGCCGACATTTTGTAGCAATAAAAGACTTTTAGGAAAATAAATGCCTGGAAGTTCTTTGGAATGTTTCATTAGCCGGAACCACAACACTTGGCTAGCAAAAGGATCAAGTATCCCATCATATGCCACAAATCTTGGGACTTACCTGTGGTTGAAACATTCACCACGTTGCTGGGATAACTGATGTAGCTACCGGCAAAGGCTATCAGGCGGAACTCATAGAAGGTATCCTGTGTTGGAAGGGGGAAGGAATTAGCAAATGTACCATAGGTTCGCCCACCAAAATGGATGCTATCTCACCGTGATGAGAAAGCAACAGACCAAGGCATTGTGGATGTAGATAAGAATAAAACTTTCAGGAATAAAGCCCCTGCATTAAATCCAGAAGAGAAGTTTCTGGTTTTATCTTTATATTATTCACTTTGAGAAGAGATTCTATTTAGTGTTTCTCAAATCTTGGCAACTCTGAGAGGTGTGGACTTCAACTCCCAGAATTCCCCAGCCTCCATGCTTTAAGATGGGTGGACTTCAACTCCCAGAATTCCCCAGCCAGCATGCTATAAGACGGGTGGACTTCAATTCCCAGCATTAAGATGGGTGGACTTCAATTCCCAGCATTCCCCCAGCCAGCCACAGGAATTCTGGGAGTTGAAGATCACACGTCTTCAAGTTGCTAAATAATACACTTTTCTCCATGCCAACCCCACCCTCGGGCTGAGGAGTTTCCAGGGACTTGCAAAGCTAGAACTGGCATCAAACACACCTTGATGAGTCCTGGCACCAGGAAATGGGTCTCGGAGCTGGGAATGGACCCACTCAGCACCTCCCACTTCCCCTGATTCTGGCGCAGCTCCAGCGAATATCCCGTCAAGGCCGAAGGATCGTGGAGTGGAGGTTCCCACAGGAGGAGGACCCCCCGCGTGGTCTCGTTGGATCTCAGGAGCTGGGGTGGGGGAAGGAAGACCAGGGAGGCGGTGGTTGGGAGGATGGGGGGCACAGTCTGAATTGGGACCCCTGAAAAAGGAAGAGGAGAAACAGGGAGATGCCTTGAGGAAGAATGCAGATTGCTTCTATCTTCTTAAATCTTCCTCCTTGGCTGACTCTGGCAACATTTACTTTAAAAGTAAAATACAGGTAGTCCCCGACTTGCAAACCATTTGTTTAGGGACCGTTCAAAGTTACAACAGCATTGTAGATTGGACAGCCATTTGTCTGAAATGGTATAGGTTTCTTGCCTGTGCAGGGGGTTGGACTAGAAGACCTCCAGGGTCCCTTCTATCTATTCCTATTCTATTCTCTTCCATTCTCTTCTTTTATTCCTATACTCCATTCTATTCTATTCTATTCTATTCTATTCTATTCTATTCTATTCTATTCTATTCTATTCTATTCTATTCCATTCCATTCCTATTTCATTCCATTCCATTCTATTCTGTTCCTATATTCTACTCCACTTTCTTTTCTATTCCATTCCATTTTCCATTCCATTCCATTAATTGTAGTCCTAAATTGAGGACCACCTGTATTTCCAGATTCCTGTCAGGCCTCTTTCTTAACCTGCTCAGCCTTGAAGGCCTGGCAGTTACCTATCCTTGGGCTATACTGACGGAAAACCTGAGAATTGCAGTCAAAGAACACAGCCTCCCATCCCCAGCAAAGCGGCGATCGCTTCTCACCCAGAGGCGTGATGGAGATGATTTCGCTGAAAGGACCGCTGCCGAGTTTGTTCTGGGCCAAGACACTGAACTGATAGCTCGTATCTGGCTGCAGGTTCTCCACCAGGATATGGGAAGCCCCCACGGGCACTGGTAACGAGGCCCAGTCGTGGTGGGGCCGGTTCAGGCGTCTCAATCTACGATTAAAACAAGGTGTCAAGGTAATGATTTAGAAGCTAACCATGTGAGATGAATGACGCAAAGTTAGGAATGACTCAGCAGGGTCTGTATCCCTTTAAGAGCTTGAGTATAAAAGGGAAGGCTTTGCTGGAGTCTCTCTCTCTCTCTCTCCATTTCCCGCTGTAATTGCTGTGTATTGAAGTTTGCCGTATTACCACGTGTATGTATTTTGTTCCCTGTGTATATTTGTGGATAGTGTAATATAAACCACCATTTAATACAACCCCATTCTTTACTGCATTTACTCCTGCAATAAGACCGTGCATGCTCTGTATTAAAAAAACAAACATGGAGGCACCAGAATGCCAGCTTAAAACAGAGGGGCGAATTTCTTAGGCCCCCTTGGAAAGAAAACAGAAATGCAGACGAATCTGTGGACGAAACATCCGTAAAGTATTTTTAATTATGACAGAAAGAAAGGGGGGGAAGGGAAATAGAACAGCTGAGAAGTCCCCACAGAGTGGCCCCAAAGACTTACATTGGGGTGTACCAGATGCTGAATCTTTGAAAGTAACCTCCATCAAACCCTGGTTCCCAGGTAACATTAACGGCTTGTCGTAAGGGCCACACGGAGACGTTGACCACAGCGTGAGGGCTGGTACCTGATTTGGGGGGGGGAGCAGAAAAGGAGCTGTATTAGTTTAACTCGATTCAGTGGAAAGTCACTAAATAAAGAGATTTAAGGACGATTTTGCCAGAAAGAATTTTGGATATGAAATAACAGGCAGTTCTTGACTTACAGCCATTCATTTAGTGACTGTTTCAACAGAAAAAAGGGACTTATGACCATTTTTCACAGTGACCACCTTTGCAGCCTCCCCGGGGTCACGCGATCAAAATTCAACCGCTCGGCAACTGACTCGTCTTTATGACGGTCACAATGTCCTGGGGTTTCAGGTTTTTGCGACCTTTTGACCCGCAAACACAATGGGGAAGCCAGATCCACTTCACAACTGTGTGACTTAACAACCACAGGGATCTGCTTAATGACCGCGGCAAGGTCATAAAATGGGGCAAAATTCACTTCACAACTGTCTTGCGTGGCCATGGAGAGTTTGGGGCTGTTAAGTCGAGACCACGTGTGTACTTCCAAATCATAGTGGACACTAGAAGGGGAGTCCTGCCCAGTTTTGTGACCACGGAGGAGATTAGGAAGAAAGATGGGATCTGTTCAAGCGGTTGGCTGAACACGATGGTTCCTAGCAAGGGATGCCACCGCTATGCCTTTAAACCCAAACATTTTTCAATAGGGCGCCAGGATCTTAGGGGCCGTTACTGCCCTCTAAGTTAAGAGCCAGCCATGTGCTGCAGCTGCCAAAAAAACCAACACAGTGCTAGGCTGCATCAACAGAGGGATAGAATCAAGATCACGTGAAGTATTAATACTGTTTTACAAGGCCTTGGTAAGGCCACACTTGGAATACGGCATCCAGTTTTGGTCACCATGATGTAAAAAAGATGTTGAGACGCTAGGAAGAGTGCAGAGAAGAGCAACAAAGATGATTAGGGGACTAGAGGCCAAAACATAGAAGGAAAGGCTGCTGGAATTGGGCATGTCTAGTTTAATGAAGAAAAGGACCAGAGATGACATGATAGCAGTGCTCCAATATTTGAGGGGTTGCCCCAAAGAAGAGGGAGTCAAGCTATTCTTTAAAGGCAGGACAAGAAGCAACAGATGGAGACTAACCAAGGAGAGAAGCAACCTGGAACTAAGGAGAAACTTCCTAACAGTGGGAACAATTAACCAGTGGAACAACCTGCCTCCAGAAGCGGTGAATGCTCCAACACTGGAAGTTTTTAAGACGAGACTGGACAGCCATTTGTCTGAAATGGTATAGGGTTTCCTGCCTGAGCAGGAGGTTGGACTAGATGACCTCCAAGGTCCCTTCCAATATTATTATTATTATTGTTGTTGTTGTTGTTATTAAACTCACCCAACACGTAGACTGTGGTGGTGGCACTAACCCTGGCCACGCCATTATTGGCGGCACATTCCCACAAGCCGTGCTGTTCCTTCGTCAGGGGCCGCAGGATCAAGCTGCTGTTCGTGCCCATCTGCCCGCTGACCAGGGTCCTGCTGCCCACCTGTTTCAGCAGGAAACCAATCAAACCGGTCATCTTACGTACAATCAATCCTCACTTAACCCTTCACTGGGACCGGCAACCGTGTCGCTCTGCAAAGCGGTCGTTAAGTGGAATGCCAAGCGATGTTTTTTATTTTTATTTTCAAATTTTTAAAGCCTGCTTGGAGAGTGGAAGGCCTGCTGGGCAGGTTGGCATGCAAACGACAGTCTTAAAAGGTTAAGTTTAAAAAAAAACCAAAAAAAAAAAACCCGCAGCTACTGAATCTATCAGAAATGGTCCGCTTTGTGCAAAACGGCAGCAACTCACTTTTGTCCAAGAGATGATGGGTATGGGGTCTCCTTGGGCCACACATGGAATTAGCAGCTCCCGGCCCACCTCCTGGAAATATTCCTGTTTGGGCCGAAGGGTGAACGTGGGAGGATCCTGAAAAACAGAATGCCAAAGAAAACACCACTGCTTAACAGAGTTGGAAGGGTCCTTGGAGGTCATCTAGTCCAACCCCTATACCATTTCGGACAAATGGCTGTCCAGTCTCTTCTTAAAAACTTCCAATGTTGGAGCATTCATAGCTTCTGGAGGCAGGTTGTTCCACTGGTTAATTATTCTCACTGTAAGGAAGTTTCTCCTTAGTTCCAGGTTGCTTCTCTCCTTGATTAGTTTCCATCCATTGTTTCTTATTCTGCCTTCTGGTGCTTTGGAGAATAAGTTGATCCTCTCTTCTTTGGGGCAGCCCCTCAGATATTGAAACCCCGCTGTCCTGTCACCCCGAGTCTTTCTTTCCATTAAATTAGACATTCCCAATTCCAGCAACCCTTCCTTATATGTTTTAGCCTCCAGTCCCCCGATCATCGTTGTTGCTCTTCTCTGCACTCTTTCCAGAGTCTCAACATCTTTTTTACATCGTGGTGACCAAAACTGGATGCCGTATTCCAAGTGTGGCCTTTATAAAGCAGTACTAGCACTTCACGTGAAGAAAACAACAGCCTAAAACTGCCAATAAAAGGCGGTTGAAAGTTGAAATCAACCCATCTTAGATATCTATGGAGATCCTTAGTCAACCAGGTCAAAGATGCTTTTTCAAAAAGCAACTGGATTATGTTTTGTTTTTCAGTCCTAGTCCAGTTGCTTTTGGAAAAAGCACCTTTGAGACAACCCATCTTAAAGGTTGACAAGGTTGAGTGATCTAGAACCCACACATCTCTGCCAGCACTACATGAAACAGAGAGATACCGGGAACGTTTTGCTGAGAACTCATTTGGTCGTGCCCTCCAATTTCTTAACTCACTTTGAGGAGGACCCGCGTGGGTGCTGAAGTGCCCGCCGTTCCAAAACTGTTGTACGGGGTACAAGCGTACACGCCCAGGGCATCGTCGTTGCTTGTGGCAATGATAATAGTCCCGTCGGTTTTCAGGGACCAGCCTGGGAACTGCAGAAAGGGAGAACGCAGGGGCTCAGGGGAAAGAATGGGATAAAACGAAGCAGAGAGTGCCCCCGCCTCCCAAAACGTACCTTGCCAATCTCCAGAGGCTGCCCGTCTTTGATCCAACTGACGGAGAGCAGTGGGGGGTGGGCTCTGCTGGGGCACCGGATCGTGCCTTGCATGCCGATCGGTAGGAAGGTCTCTGGAGGCATCTTAGCGACTTGAGCTGGATCTGTCAGATGGAGGACAGCTTGGTGTCAGCGGTGAGATTGTGAGATCAGGGCACTGGGGAGGGAAGCTAGAAGAACGAGGGGGTGGCAAACGTGGCCTGGGACTGTGAGATCCCTGGGACTAAGACCATGAGGTCAAGGGGTGGACCAAGAAGCTGGAAAGGAAGTAGGTGGTATCAAAAGAGGGCTTGTGAGATCCTTGGGACTAGGACTGTGAGGTCAAGGGATGGACCATGAAGCTGGAAAGGAGGTAGGTGGTATCAAAAGAGGGCTTGTGAGATCCTTGGGACTAAGACTGTGAGGTCAAGGGATGGACCATGAAGCTAGAAAGGAAATAGGTGGTATCAAAAAAGAGCTTGTGAGATCCTTGGGACTAGGACTGTGAAGTCAAGGGGTGGACCACAAAGCTAGAAAGGAATGAGGTCTAGGTTAAGCAGCTTTGGGGGCAGAAATGAAATCAAGAGGTGGTATCAACAGAGTGCTTGTGAGATCCTTGGAACTAGGACTGTGAGGTCAAGGAGTGGACCATGAAGCTAGAAAGGGATGAGGTCTAGGTTAAGGAGCTTTGGTGGCAGAAATGAAATCAAGAGGTCAATGAAGCAGCACTTACACAGAACCGTAAGGAAGGCCGAAGCGGAGGGCGGTTTCCTCAGCCCATTGCTGGGGATACAGGTATATTTTCCCGAATCCTCCGGGGTCGTTTTCTGGACCAAGAGGCTTCCATCCACCAGGATTTGAATCCGGGACCGGAGATGGCTGGAGACACCAGGAAGGAAAGAGAAGTCAAATGAAGCCGCATTAAGAGACTGCTCTCTTGTCACCCTAGATCAGGGCTCTCCAAACCTGGCGACTTTTAAAGACTTATGGATTTCATCTTTCAGAATTTCAGGATGCTGGCTGGGGAATTCTGGGAGATGAAGTCCACAAGACTTTAAGATGTCTAGTTTGGAGACTCCGGATAAAGAACGACAACAGAGATGGCAACCGGTTCATACTTATGACGGATTCAGTGTTCCCAGGATCACGTGATCCCCCTTTGCAATCTTCCGACAACCCATGGGGAAGCCAGATTCGCTTAACAACCGTTTGGCAAATTTGAACAAGATGCAGTGATTCACTTAACAACGGTAGCCAGAAAGGTCGTAAAATGGGGCGAAATCCACTTCTCCTATGTTTTACTTAGCAACAGATATTTTGGGCTGAATTGTGGTCGTTAAGGCGAGGACTACGAGGACTTTCTGCCACCAGAGGAAAAAAATCTAGGGAGGGATTCTCCTTTAGTAATAAAAAAAAAGTTGGAAGGGACCTTGGAGGTCTTCTAGTCCAACCCCCTGCTCAGGCAGGAAACCCTATCCCATTATAGACAAATGGTTTGTCCAGTCTCTTCTTAAAAGCTTCCAGTGTTGGAGCATTCACCGCTTCTGGAGGCAGGTAGTTCCACGGGTTAATTGTTCTCCCTGTCAGGAAGTTTCTCCTTAGTTCTAGGTTGCTTCTCTCCTTTCTCCCTCCCCTTTCCATACCTGAGGTGGAAGACGTTGGTGCCCCCCTGGAACCAGCTGTAGGTGAGGTTGGCAGGGTAGGCGTCAGCTTGGCAAGCGAAAAAGGCATTTTGGCTGAGGTTCACGGTGACATCTTTGGGAGAGATCACGATCACCGGTGGCCCTGGCAGAAACACAGACACAGAAAATTGAATTTCTGCAGCAACCGAGCGGAACCGAAGAGCGTACAAGGTCATCCTCAGCTTACAACAGTCCATTTAGTGACCAACAGCTATGACGGCGCTGAAAAGCTTTCACAGTAACTTCTAACGGTCACTAAACGAATGGTTGTTAAGTCGAGGACCACCTGTGTGCCAAGGGGCTTGTGTATGTGTTTGGCTCCTTTCAGCTGGGAAGATGTGGTTGTGTGTTGTGTGAGAGGCTCTACTACAATTTTGGAGACCATCTGTACCTTGGTTTAGTGACAGAAATTCCCCTTCCCGTTGTCGTCATAACTTGAGGACTACCTCTATAGAGCCGAGGTGGTGCAGCAGTTAGAGTGCAGTACTGCAGGCCACTTTAGCTGACTGTGTTCAGCAGGTCAGCGGTTCAAATCTCACCGGCTCAAGGTTGACTCAGCCTTCCATCCTTCCGGGGTAGGTAAAATGAGGACCCAGATGTTGGGGGCAATGTAAATATATATATATATATATATATATATATATATATATATATATATATATATATATATATATACATTGCTTACTGGTGTACACCGCTTAGAGAATGCTTGCACTTAAAAGCGGTATATAAGTCTCATAAATAAATAAAATAAATAAATAAATAAGGTTTGAAGACGGCATAAAGGCATCCGGTCTGAGGGTGATATAGTGAATGCTACTGGGTGCAAGGGTTGGACTTGAGGACCTCTTAATATCCCTTCCGACTCCATGATTTTCGGTTAATTACCGTATTTCCCCCAAAAATAAGACCAGGTTTTACATTCATTTTCGCTCCAAAAGACGCATTAGGGCTTAATTTTCACATATATTTTTTTCATGTACAACAATCTACATTTATTCAAAATAAATAACGTCAATAATATTATTTATTTATATTTAGTTATACATTAAGATCATTATTTTATAATTCCATAAGTCTGTTGTGTGTTGCAACAGGCACACTAAACGCGTCTGGCTGATGATCGTAACTGGGGGAAGGGCTTATATTACGAGCATCCTGAAAAAAAAATCATGCTAGGGCTTATTTTCCAGGTAGGTCTTATTTTTGAGGAAATACGGTCACTTCTCTAGGTCAGAAAGGACTTACCTTGGACTAGGAGGCGGGTTGTGTGAATGACGGTGCCTTCTTGATTGCTGGCATGGCAAGTGTACAGCCCAGCACAGGTCCGTTCGACTCTAGCAATAAAGAGAGTCCCATTTTTCACCTGGAAAACACACACACAAAAAATGGGTATATTGCTAAAGACAAGCCAATCTTTAGGGCACTCTGATTTAACACCACCCTCTGATTTAACGGATCTCCATTTAACGGATTTTTGGATGCAGCAGGTCAAGTACACACCCAGGCACCCTTAACAACTTGCTTAGCAATAGAAACAACCCATCTGTGGTTGTTTTAAGTTTTTCTAAACTGCTGCCAAGGATCTACTTTTTGTATTTAACGGACCACTGAGAATAACAGACCTTTCTTTTCAAGTAGGCTGTTAAATCCAGGTTTTGCTGCAACGGACACCCACAGGAAACGAAATACCTGCATTTCTTTTCCATTTTCAATGGTTTGGCTGTCTCTCTTCCAAGAGACCAAGGGTGGTGGGTTGCCAGTGGCCAAACAGGAGAGGGTCACAGACTTTTGGTCCTGGATCTCGATTAAAGCTGGCGGGGTCTTCTGGAAAACGGGGGGAGCTGTAGGACAGATTGAGAAAAGCACAGATGAGTCTCACATGCCGTTCTTTCATTTCTCTCTCTGTGTGTGTCTCTCTCACTTGCTCCTGTCTCCACCCTGTGCTGTTTGTGGTGAGGTTTTAACAACTGGGATAAATCCCAAATGTTGGGGTTTAACATTCACTTGGGACAGACTTTTATCATGGCTGCTAAAGCCTCACAACAAATAACACGATTTCCTACGTAAAGGCGAAGTGTTTTATTTAAGGTCTGCTTCTACGATCTGCATGGCAGTAAAACACCACACCAAACACGAATATGAGGCAGGTAAATCCTTGTCTTAAAAGACAGATCGTAAGTTAAGACAGTGAAAACAATTAACCAGTGGAACAACCTGCCTGCAGAAGCAGTGAATGCTCCAACACTGGAAGTGGTTTTTTTTAAAAAGAAGATCACATTTACGACCATTTGCAGGGCTCTGTGGTCAAGTGGCCATTCTTTAGGCTGTTTCCCTTGCTGTAACTTTCAAAAGTCACTAAATGAGCCGTTGTTAAGTTGAGGACGACTGTATTGTAATTAACATTTCCCATCATGACAGGGTGGTTGAGACCAGCAAGTTTGGTTAAAATCCGACCCTTAGCTTCTTGGCTAGCCAAAAATTTCATTGATTCATCTACTTCATGGGTTGTGAGGATGATTATAAACCGGGAACTCTCTTGACAATCGTTTGGTTATTATTTTCATGGAGATGTGAGATTGTTGAAGATTTTAATCTAAGGCTCCCTAAGAGGGGATTCCTCCCCCCCCCCAAATTCAAGGCTGGTCATTCACAGAGCGACGATTAGCCAGGAAGGAGATTACAATGAGGTTTAGCGAAGCAGCACCGATGAGAATCGGATTAGGTTCAAACCACGTCTAGAAGGATGGCAGATGGAGAGGGCGCGAGGTCAATAATCAGCTAAGAAAGAACGGCAAGAAATCCTTGGATCAACATGTGTGTGTCTCTATGTGGGTGTAGGATGGTCACAATCTTTGCTAAGTCTCCTTCTGGCCTGCTCTGAAAGGTGAAAAGTGTTACCTTTTTTTTTTCTTTGCAAAGGGAAGGAAAAAATAAAATGGGTAAACAGGCCACAAAATTATGAGAGACAGTTTTGTCTGCCTGCTGCCCTCCGCAAAATCCTGTATAAAAGTACCTCCGATGTTAGAAACAGTATGATAAAATGTAAGGACTATTCTAAGTTCTCCCCCCACCCTCAAAATAAGATACACAGATGCTTCCGAACAATTTTGCAACCCTAGATGATCGAAATAGACTGTCCAGGGAATTTAACCTCCGGATCTGGCAAGATGTAATGTCAGAATAGGAATAGAATAGAATACAAAATAGAATAGAATAGAATTACGCGATAGATAGAATTACGTGACAAAATAGAATAGAAAAGGAATAGAAGAGAATAGATATATAGAATAGAAAAGAGAAAATGAATAGAGTAGAAAATAGAATAGAAAATAGAATAGCAGAAGAGAAAGCGAATAGAAAATGAACAGAATATAGAAAATGAATAGAAGAGAAAATGAATAGAGTAGAACAGAAATAAAGAATAGAATAGAAAACGAATAGAAAACGAATAGAATAGAATATAAAATAGAAGAGAAAATGAATAGAATATAGAAAATGAATAGAAGAGAAAATGAATAGAAATAGAAGAGAAGTAGAACAGAAAATGAATAGAAGAGAAAATGAATAGAATAGAACATAGAAAATGAATAGAGTAGAATAGAATAGAGCAACAGAGTTGGAAGGGACCTTGAAGGTCTTCTAGTCCACCCCTCTCTTGAACAGAACCATGGTTCTACTGAATTTTTTCCACTTACTGTCTTGACCCCAGACAGACCCTGGTCAGAAGAAAAAGGACACCCAAAGCTTACAATTGACAATCAAGTGGATCCAGGTGCCGTTCTGGAATTCATCATCGTTGTTGGGGCGGTTGAGGAACAGCACCCGGCATTCATACCATCCCTGATCCTCGGCACGCAGTCGGTCGATCTGCAGAGAGGCCCCTGCTTGGATCCGTACCCGACCTGGATTGCAAAAGGAGAAAACATAACCATTTTGTTAATTAAAAGTTCCTATCACCTCTCAGCCTCATCTTTACAGTCAGTCCTCGACTTACGACTGATCGCTTAGCAATAGGTTCACAGTTATGATGGAACCCCCTCCAAGAGCTACTTATGACCTGATTTTGAAAGTATGATGGCCATACATACCCCTCCTGCAGTTCCAAGATGGCCGCCCAAAATTGCTCTATCAATGAGATGGGCAGCATAATAAATAAATACAATTTCAAAGGGCAGCTACGTGCCTCTCCGTTTCAACTTGCCTTTAGAGTAAGGTGTGTGTGAGTGTGTGTTGCTTTCGAGTGGGTTAGATGGAGAAACGAAACCTCTTCGATTCAGCTGAAGGCTGAGAGAGCCTGAAATCTTTTCAAGGACACCAGAACAGGTGTGGATTTGAAGCAGACGGTTCCCATAACAAAGTGAACTTGTTTATATGGACTAAGTAATCAAGTGATCAAGGCTGAGAAACACTGCTTTAAAAGAATTCAAAACTAAAGCAGTAAATTTGGATGTAGGGCGAGGGAGCAAGTTCTGTAAGCTTTCAGCTACCCTGATGAATTGTGGCCTGGTTTTGAGGGTGTATGCACATTTGTGTGTATATACAGGCAATCAAGAACAAATAAACAGAAACCGATGCATGTTTAATTTTATTCTATCTGTTTGCTGCCACCCAGTTTATCAAACACAACACCTCTGTTTATACAGTAGCCTGAATAGCAAGGCAAAAATCTAATATTCCTGTATCTTTGCATGCTTATTCCTTGTGCTTGGAAACAGACATTTGGACAAAGAAAGGGAACTAACTGTGATTTATTTCCAGTCCAGCTAGGCAGATCTACAGCACTGACATTATTAGCAAAATGTGAGCAGATTAATTATATTATTTATTACTTATCCCCCCGTGATTTATTGGTAATTGTGTATTGTATTTGTTTCCAGTTATGTGGTGAGGTTCTTTTCCCTTGTTTTATTTTCTTAAGTGACAAGCTTGTTTCTTTTTTTATTTATTTTTCTTATATTGTATGTGTTTCTTGTTATGTAGCAAGTTTGTTATATGGTGGGTTTTTTTTTTCCTTTTTTTAAAATGCCTTACACTATCCAGAATCACATAGTTTGAGTGAGTGGAATCACAGAAAGAGAAAGAAAGAAAGAAAGAAAGAAAGAAAGAAAGAAAGAAATGAAAAGGAAGGAAGGAAGGAAGGAGAGAATGGGAGGGAGGGAAAGAATAGAATAGAATGGGAGGAAGGAAGGAAGGAAGGGAGGGAGGGAGGGAGGGGAGGAAGGATGGAGAGAATGGGAGGGAGGGAAAGAAGGAAGGAAGGAAGGAAGGAAGGAAGGAAGGAAGGAAGGAAGGGAAGGAAATAATAGAATAGAGAGGGAGGGAGGGAGAGAGGAAGGAGATGATGGACAGGAGTTCAAATCCCCCCTTACTCAAGGAAGATTTCACTAAAGCCTGAATCTACAACTAACTCAGTTTAGGCTTTTCTCCTGATAAAAATATCTGGACAGAAGCCAGATCTAAGCTATAATCTCCATTTTCTAATTCCCTGCTCTTTCCCTTCCATGAGGTTGTCTGGCTTAATCAACCCCTGCTGCAGTCTAGATTTTGTCTTGGCCAAACCCAATTGGCAGATATTTGAGAATGCAAACGAAAAACAGCCAGCAATTACAGCAGGACAACTCCAGATATTCATAGGCAACCAGTCTGAGCAAGTCCGCCAGGGATTTTACAATCCCGAGAAGGATTCCCACCCTCGGTTGTTAAGAAAAGGGTTCAAAAGGTTGGCCAGACAATCGGACAGAGACGCCTCTTAAAAATCCCTGACCCGGAAAAAGAGGGCTGAGGCAGATAAAGAAGGGGGAAAAAAAAAGGCAAACGGCAGCCATTTGGGGCCGCCACCCCCACCCCCAAGATGTTATCTGAAGCAAATCTTGTGTCATTTTGGTCATTCCCACTACACAACACCCAAGAAGCTTCCCCAGAAATGACACAAAGTCAAGCAAGGCGCTAAATGCCAGATCCTGAAAACAGAATGTTCAAGAAAATGCCGAAACATTCCAGAGAATGCTGGAAAATCCTTTTTTGTTGTTGTTGTTGCAGAACCCATGAAATTTCCCAACTCATTTGAGAATCAGTTCCTGACTTTCCTGAAGAAAGAAAGAAAGAAAGAAAGAAAGAAAGAAAGAAAGAAAGAAAGAAAGAAAGAAAGAAAGAAGGAAAGAGGATAATCCAGCATTATCTGGGGAATTCTGGGCGTTGAAGTTCACAAGTCTTAAAGTTGCTGTAGTCTATAGTTTCAACAGCTGAACACTGTATATAGGCCCAGTTTTGTTGCATTGCCACACAGAACAACTTCCCTCTGGGATTGTTGTCTCCAAACTTGAAACCAACTCTTTTACTGAGATACCAACCTGGGCACCATCTTACTATTCTGTGTATAACAGAATAACAAGAGTTGGAAGGGTCCTTGGAGGTCTTCTAGTCCAACCCCCTGCTCAGGCAGGAAACCTTATACCATTTCAGACAAATGATTGTTCAGTCTCTTCTTTAAAACTTCCTGTGCTGGATCACTCACAACTTCTGGTGGCAAACTGTTCCACCGGTTAATTGTTCTCCCCTGTTAGGAAATTTCTCCTTAATTCCAGGTTGCTTCTCTCCCTGATTTAAGTTTCCATCCGTTGCTTCTTGTCCTGCCTTCGGGTGCTTTGGAGAACAGATTGCTCTTCTCTGTGGCAGCCCCTCAAATATTGGAAAACTGGTATTGTGTCACCTCTCATCCTTGTTTTCCTTAAATTACACTATGTGATAAACAGGAATTGAGGGGGGAAAACTGGCAGCTGCTTACCAGACTGAGACCAAAGAATATTTTGTATTTCTTTGCTTGGGTTTCCCTACTTCTCAAAACAAACACACCCTGAAGCTCCACTGCCTCTAACTCAAATCTTGCCATCAATAAATACGGGCAAAGTTTCCAGCACCTGTCTGCAAACACAAACACACCCTCCTGGGCCAGCCCAGTCCATTGTCTACATATTAAAGGCCCTTTTCTCTTTGGAAGACAGCCAGGATTAATCCAATGTGGGGGTTATTGCAGCCTTTTTAAAAAAAAAAAAAGAGGAGAAATTGAATCTGCAATCCACCCAACGGGGTGAAACGTGGGATTTTATATTTATTTATCACTAGGACGTAAGAAAGGCACCTTTTGAAGTATTTTAAGGGAGCTATATCGGAGGGCTCTTGAAATTATCCTATGGGCTTTGAAACAAGAGGCCCAAGCCTGACTGAACTTTGCTTCTTGCCCTCAAAATGAACTAACTAAATTGGTTTATGGCTAAATTTATGACAGCGCTCCAGAAATCCAAGAGACTCCTTTGTTTTACAGAAATCAAAGCAAAGGCGTGTTGCTAGGACCGCTGCAGCCATTTCATCAGAATCAAAAGACACACAGAGCCTAGAATACGGGTGATCCTTGATTTAAAACAGTTTGTTTAGTGACCGTTTTGGAAATGAAATGAAACGGGGGAATTAAATATCTTTTTTTCCCTTAGGGACACGATGATGGTCCCAAGACACCATTTCCACAAGGCGTCAAAGTTTAGATACAGGTTCAACTTAACAGTCATTCATTTAGTGTCCGTTTGAAGTTACAACGGCACCGAAAAAGTGGCTGATGACTATTTTTCACATTCATGACCAAGCGGTCTTCAAACGTGGCCCTTTTATGACTTGTGGACTTCAACTCCCAGAATTCCTCAGCCAGGCACTTCTGGGAGCTGAAGTCCACAAGTCATCAAAGGGCCAAGTTTGAAGACCCCTGTCTTAAATCTAACAAACAAAATGGAGGCTGGCTGAGGAATTCTGGGAGCTGAAGTCCACAAGTCCTGAAAAGGTCAAGTTTGAAGACCCCTGTCTTAAATCTAACAAACAAAATGGAGGCTGGATGAGGAATTCTGGGAGTTGAAGTCATCAAAGGGCCAAGTTTGAAGACCCCTGGTTTAAGGGATCAAAATTCAGACACCTGGCAACTGACTCCTATTTATGACGGTCGCAGTGACCCGGGGTCATGTGATCCCCTTTTGCGACCTTCTGGCAAGCAGAGTCAATGGAGAAAGCCAGATTCACTTAACAACCGGGTTACTAATTTAAGAACGGCAATGATTCATTTAACAACCGTGATAAGAAAGGTCGTAAAAATGGAGCAAAACTCACTTTAAAAAAAAAGTCTCGCTTTGCCACAGAAATTTTGGTCGAGAACTACCCGTAAGAGGATTCAGAAGGGACCCTGGAGGTCTTCTAGACCAACCCCCTGCTCAAGCAGGAGACCCTATAAAATTCCAGACCAATGGTTGTCCAAATCTAAATGGATATTATTATTAAAAACCACACATTAAAACTATAAAACTAAACGGATGAATGTTTTGCCAAAGGCTGAGACGTCACCAATTGAGCCCAGACCAGGGGGAGGGGAAAGCTTTCCCGGTTGAACTTCTGCCACAAGTCACTCACCAACGTAGTCTGGATCCACACGGGGGGAATACAGTCCGAATTTGATGAAGATGGGGAGTGGGAAACCAAACCGCACCCACTCAATGACATAAAGAGGGGGGCTCGTCTCGTCCGGCTTCAGCAGGTTGCAGCGCAAAAGGGCTCTTTCCCCTTTGCGGCCCACCACCCTGCGAGGTTCTGCTTTGTTGTTACCTGCTGGAAGAAACATCGAGAGAAAGAAGAAACATCTGAATTTAAGCCTTTCTGAGGCTTCCGTTTTTCTACCTCGTTTTTTGGAAGCCCCCCCCCCCGTGAAACTTGCTTTTGGTCAAAATTCCTCCACGTGGAAAAAAGAGGCTTCTGTTTTTCTATCTCTTTTTTGAAGGCCACCCCTTTGGGTCAAAGTGGCATCAAAATTCCTCCCAAAAGAAAAAGAAGCTTCCGTTTTTCTATCTCATTTTTGAAGGTGGCTCTTTTAGATCGAGGCCGTACCAATATTCCTTCAAAGGTGGACGAGGCTTCTGTTTTTCTACCTCATATTTGAAGGCCACCTTTTAAAATCAAGGTGGTCTCAAAAATGCCTCAAGGGGAGGAAAAGGCTTCCGTTTTATGAATTACATGCATGTTACTGGCAAAAGACAGAGGTGAGAGGTCACAAGGGGACTGTGGATTACCCCCCCCCATTGTATTTTCAGTTTTGGCGGGGGTCCATGGGGGAAACCTCCCATCTAGGAAACCCAGTTACCTTCAGCAAGGCTGCTGCAGACCAGGGTAACGCAGGCAAACCTCAGCAACCAATTCATAGCACAGTTATCCAGGCCAAACGCTGCGTAGGACGACCGCTATACCGAGACCCTCCCCAGCACAGGATATTTGGGGAGCGACCTCTAGCGAAAGGGAAGCGGATGCCAGCCCACAATCACACCGTCCTTGCCGCTGGCTTTTCAACACAGCCTTCCAGAGACGCTTGCAAAGTGCGGGCTGGGATGTCTCGCACCCGAGTCCTGTTTTTCATCTCCCGCAGATCTGTCCGTGCAATGCCGGCGTTCAGTGAGAAATTTCTCCTTCAGCACTGACCGAGCCCTGGTGGAGCAAAGTTTGCAAAAGGGGAAAAAAAGGGGGAATAAAACTGGAGAATCGTAAACTTATTTTCGTTCCAGAGAAAACCCAGTAAGGGACAAGCTGCGTAAAATAGCTATTTTGTCTTGTTTTTGAAAGACACGCCATAATTTCAAAAAGGCTTCTGCCTCGGAATGTATTTCTACAATGACAACAGTTGTGTGAAGAACGATCACAAGCCACTTTTTCATGTGCAGTTGTAGCTTCAAATGCTTGCTAAATGGTAGTCAATAAGATGAGGACTCTCTTGGGCAGCTTGTAGAAATGCAATCACAAGTTTGGAACTAACCAGGTTAACGGTGGTGTCTTGGGATCATGGTTGTGTCCATGAGAAAAAGCACTTATTTAATTGCGCCCATTTTATCTCCTTTTGTTCCTGTGATTATTACCTCCCCCCCCTCTTTGTCCCTGTAGCAACCTCTATTTTGCCTTTAGTTCGACCAGCTTGAATTAAATTTTACTTCAAGCTCCATTTCTGCTTCTAAAAAAAACAATCCACGTCAACCCCACAAAAAAGCTGGTCCAGCCCCCATCACTGGCGGCATCAATTTTAGAAAAACAAGCCAATCACAGGGTTGTTTTTCCCATTTTCTCTTCCTGTCTATAATTCAACTCAATTAAAAACAGGAGAGAATGCCACTTTTTTTTTAATCTCTCCCACACACAAACTTCAAAGGATTTGGCCCGCTCTGCATTAAGCACCACGAAAAAGTGCAAAACTTTAGGACCAACTTGGGGGGGAAAAAAAGAGATTTTATTCCCATTTTTTTTTTTAAAAAAATACGGCTTTAAGAGAAAAGGCAGGCAATTCAGATTAAAGCGCAGAAGTCCGCAGCTGAGTATCCAATAATAGGCTTCCTGAAAATTAGCAGAAATAAATCCTACGGTAAAACTGGACAGGGCCTCTCTAAGCAGCTTAATCTGGCAAATGCTCCTGGCTGGTTTCATTTTATCCTCACAAGAACCCTGCGAGGTAGGTTAGGCTGAGAAGTGAGTCATTGGCTTCAGGGTCAGTTGCAAACTGAGCAGGCAAATAAATAAATTGGCAAATTTTGCCAGCATTTTCTTGCACGTATTTCTCAAGGACCATCTTCCCAGCAGCCTTTACAACTAGAAGGAACAAGAATTTTAATTTGTGATCTGCTAATTTCCCCATCTGATAAGAATACCAAAGCAGGTAGGTGTCTTTTGCTTAAACTATTTTATTTGTTTATTTTATTTGCTGCTGGTGGCAGTCGAGATCAAATACTCCATGCAATTTTCTCGCCATTAAAACGAATTCCCTTTGGTAAGGTGTGTCTGAATTTGAGTTATTCCACCTGCAGGCTTACAAGGAACAGATATGGGCATTTTTCAAAACAAAAAAAAAGAACATTTTTTTCAGAAGAGAATTTACTCCCACAGGCACACCACACTGCTGTAAAATAAACCCACCAATGGTCCGTTAAATCCAAAACCTTCACTACATCTTCATTTTTTGACCAGTTCATCAACTTGGATGGAGAAAAAGGAGGAAAAAAAATGAGATATCTGTCTTACGGGCGAAGAAAAGACCAAAAAGGTCTTTCTTAAACACTTATTTTATTTATCCAATTTCTATAGCAGCCCAAACTCTAACAAAGCGATTCAATGAAGTGATTTTATTCCCTACAAATTGTACCCCACTTTTAAGGGGGGATCCTAACCAGCACCAACAGCCCCCTGCTCACAAAATGCAATATAATTCTGTTCTTCCTGGATCTCTCACCAAGCCATCCATTCTGGCTGTTAGAAACAGCAGCATAAATCGTGTCTCTTTTCAAATTAAAGGAACAAAACTTCCTTGGATCCATTTCCTAGTGCAAAACATATTTAAGTTTTACTTTCCAGAGCAACGATCCTCAAAAATCAGGATTTTGTTTTTCCCCTTAGTCCCTTCCTGGGAGTTTTTAAATCTAGGAGGAAGCAAATCAGAAGACTGGCAGGCTGGAACTGGGATGGGAATTGTAGTCCCTGGGAGGCCCGCAGGCTGGAGGAAGAGAATATGAGAATTCTGGAGGGTCTCAAGTCACACAACCTGTTTAACTAACTACCCGAAGGCCCAATCTTGTGCATTGGCGCAAGATATGCCAACTTGATGGCTAAATGCTTTTTATATTTATGATTTAACGGCCCTGTAAGCAGTACAAAGTCGCTCTGGGTGGCAGATACATTTAATAATAAACACATTTAATAAACAAACAGGCTGTAGAAGGCAGAAAGCGGAGAATGCAAGAAGGAGGTTACACGCGTTGGTATGAACTGAGCTACTAGATGCTCTCTCATAATTGGGGATCTCACGTCCGGCTAAGCGACCAGCACTTCCTGGGCCAGGGAAGCATTTCAAGAGACTGGTCCTCAGTGAGGCGGACGCTACCATCCTGCTTCAAAAGCCGCTGGAAAATCCCGGATTTTCTGCTTCTTTGTGTGTGTGTGTGTGTGTGTGTCTCTCTCTCCCCCCGACTAATCCTCGGTGGGATGCGCCATCTAAAACCCGGGTTGAGCCCAGCACGGGTTCAGAACAACACCCTGCCCCCCCCAAAGGTCATGCAAACTCCAGAGTTCCGTTGCGTAACCTGGTTCACACGATCACCCACTCCACGAAGCGCAAGAGACGCGGATCGCAGGGTTTCTGGAGGGGGCGGGGAAGAACCGGACCGTCCGGGATCTTACCTGCTTGCCTCCGGCGGAAGATGCCCACTCCCGGCCAGGGCTCTCGGTCCGGCCCGGACAAGCACCGGCCTGAAGCCGCCGCCGCCGCCATCCGCGGCTTTGCAAAGCGCCGCTAGGCTAACTTTGCGCGCCGGGAGTTTTGCAACGTGGTGCCCGCGGGCGAGCGGCGCTGCGCTCTTTCCCTGCGCTGCGTGCAATTTACTCCGCGGCTGCTCCGAAGCGCAAATGCAACCCCCTTGTTTGCATCTGCCCCGCGAATCCGGATTCGGAGCCACTTCGTTTCCACGGGCGGCAGAAAGCCAGCGGGCCCCCGACGTGGAAACTCCGTCCCGGAGAAGCGCTGGTCCGGGGAAACTTCCCACACAATGGAGGGGCGGGGGCTTTGCTCCGCTCCCCCCCACCCCCAGCCTCTTGGTTGCCAGGGCAACCGCCAATCGCGTGCCCGAAAGCGCTTCCTGCGCCTTCCAAACGCGCCAATCGCCGGGAGGCAAAGGCTGGACCGGGGCGCTTTAAAGGGGAGAGGGAAAGGGGAGGGGGCGTGGCTTGACAAGGGAGGGGGGAAGAGAGAGGAGAGATTTATTTTTGCAAAGGTGTCTGGGATATGTAGTTTTTTCCCCCCCTCCCCCGGAGGGGCAGAAACCCTGGAGGGGTTCCACTAAAAATCAGCGTTTTTCTCAACTTGGGCAACGTTGAAGACGAGATTGGACTTCAGCTCCCAGCATTCCCCAACCGGCACGTGGGAATGGCCGTCACTTCCTGTGTTTAAAAGTTGGGTCCGCTGGGGAATGCTGGGAGTTGGAAGCCCACCAAACCTGGAAATAAATGGCTAAGGTTGCAAAAAACACTGCGCTATATGATGTGGGGTGTTTTGTAAAATGTGCAAAGTGTAAATTTAGATAGATAGATAGATAGATAGATAGATAGATAGATAGATAGATAGATAGATAGATAGATAGATAGATAGATGGATGGAGACAGACAGACAGACAGACAGACAGACAGACAGACAGACAGACAGACAGATAGATAGATAGATAGATAGATAGATAGATATGGATGGAGACAGACAGGTAGAGAGAGAGAGAGAGAGAGAGAGAGAGATGGATGGCAGATAGATAGATAGATAGATAGATAGATAGATATGGATGGAGACAGACAGATAGATAGATAGATAGATAGATAGATAGATAGATAGATAGATAGATAGATAGATAGATAGATAGATATGGATGGAGACAGACAGGTAGAGAGAGAGAGAGAGAGAGATGGATGGCAGATAGATAGATAGATAGATAGATAGATAGATAGATAGATAGATAGATAGATAGATAGATAGATAGATATGGATGGAGACAGACAGATAGGGATAGATAGATAGATAGATAGATAGATAGATAGATAGATAGATAGATAGATCAACAACGGCTTTAAAGCAGGGTCAGCTGTGGAATTCTGGGAGCTGAACCTTTTTGTCCTTCCTCTTCTTTCTTTTTCTTTCTCTCTCTCTCTTTCTCTCTTCCTTCCCAGAGCAGGACCCTGATAGTGCTCTCTGGCAGCCCCCTCCTCACAGACGCTCCGTGGCCGATTGCAACCAAGCACACAATGAAGTCATTTAATACCCCACCTGTTGCTTCTAAATCCCACCCAGACCTGTTTCCTGCATTTGGGGGGCTCCCCCCAGCCTCCCGAGGCAGGAAGCCAACATTCACGGGCTGTGGGTATCCCAAAAGAAGAGATTATCCACCCTCCTCCGTCCTTTTATAATCACCGCTTTGGAGGGGCGGAAACAAGATATGGCTTGAAGGTGGCTTTTAAGATAATCCAGGTCTGGGCGTCGCAGGAGACACCGGATCCCTCCATGGAGAGAAACTGTGCTGGGGGGACCTGCCGGTGCTTGATCGTACCTGGGCCCAAAGGGGGATGGGTTTTGAGGGCAAAAAAGGGGACGGGGTTGTGTTCATACTCCCCCACACCCCTCCTGTGAATTCAGAGACTAAAATGCAGGGTTGGACACAGGCGGACCTTGCGCCAAATCTGCCCTCTTGGTCCCCAACAGGTATTGCTGCAAGCAGAAGGACCTCAAGCTGTCTTTGTTCATTTGTAAAAAACTTATCGTCTTTCTTTCCTTTTAGCTTTCTTCCTTACCTTTATTTCCTCCGTTTCCTTCCTTCTTGCCTGCCTGCCTTCCTTCTTTCCCTTCCTTTCCTTTTTCTCTCCCTCCCTTCCCAATCTCCCACCCTCCCTCCCTTCTTTCCTCCCTCTTCTCCCCGTCTCCAATTCTTCTTCCTTCCTTCTCTCTTCCCCTTCCAATTCTCTCCTTCCTTCCTTCTTCCCTCTTCTCCAATTCTCCTTCCTTCCTTCCCCCCCATTCCTTCTTTCTTTTCTTCCTTCACCTTCTCTTCCTCCCATTCTCTCTCCTTTTTTTCTTTCCTTCCTTCCTCCCATTCCCTCTCTCTTTTCTTTTTCTTTCTTTCTTTCTTTCCTTCCTTTCTTCCTCCCTCTCTCCCTCCTGTTTATCTGGCCACTAGTCTCAATGACCAGATGGTCGGTGGCTAACTACTATTTTAAAATATAGTATATATATAAAATATATAACCACAACTGCATGATTTTTTTTCTCCTCTTCCTTTCTTTTTAAGTTTATCCTCTGGCTTTCCTCCCTGCTGTGTAGCTGCACCACAGCCCTGTGAGGTAGGAAGAGCAGAGCGGGAATGCGTAATTCCACCGCTGAAGGCAAGGATTGCAAATCCGTTGCAAACCACACAAATGAGCGATTGTGCTTTCTTACAAGACTCTCTCTCCCCCCATTATCTCCCATTGTTTTTTTAAAAAAGTGGGTCTCTTGCTTGCACGCACACACACACACACAAGCTGTCTCGCAGATCAAAACAGCCTGTCGCTTTGAGTTGGCTTGCTGAAGGCACAAAGGGAAGATCACCCTGACAAGCTGTCCATCTGACGTTGATCCAAGGCTGGGGGGTGTGTCTCTGATGGGACCCTCACCCCCCCTCCCCCAAAGGGGTACCTGCTTGATGCAAATCCAGCTGCTGAGCAGCAACTAACTGACTCCTTGCAAAGAGCTGGACCCCCCTAATTTGGGGAGCTGAAAACTTATTTGGGGGTGTAGAATTTCCCAGATTTAATCCTCTTTTGAGGATTGATGTTCCCTTTTGTGGCTGGGACTTCATGCGTGAAACGTTTTGATCCGGGGGGCTTGGCTTTGCGTGGGAACGCTCCAGTTCCTCTCTAGGAGCACCCTGGCCCATAATCCTGGCTGCGGGGAGGGTGGGGGGGGGCAGGCCCAGAAGTCATGACGCTCCTTAAAAAATACAGGCTGGTTCAGGAGGAAGAGTTTGAGGGCCGGTGTTTTGATTGCATTGGGAGAATATTCTTTCTGTAAATTTACACTAGTCCTCGACTTACGGCCTCAACTGAGCCCGATACTTCAGCCGCTGAGCAAGACAGTCGTTGCCTGAGTTTTGCCCCGTTTTATGACCTTTTTGCCACAGTTGTTAAGTGAGTCATTGCAGTTATAAAGGTATTTAAATGGTCGTTAAATGAATTCTGGCTTCCCCATGCTTGTCAGGTCGCCAGGGGGAGGATGTGACCCCCCCAGTGACTCTGCGCCCGTCATAAACACGAGTCAGTTGACAAAGCGTCTGAATTTTGATCACATGATCAAAATGGCTGCCCTAGTCGTAAATGTGAAAAACGGCATTTTCAGGGCCGTTGTAAATACATCGGATAAAACGGATTCCCTTAATGCAGGGGTCTTCAAACTTGGCCCTTTGATGACTTGTGGACTTCAACTCCCAGAATTCCTCAGCCGGGTACCCGTGCCTGGCTGAGGAATTCTGGGAGTTGAAGTCCACCAGTCAGAAAACGGCCAAGTTTTGAAGACCCGTCTTAAATCTAACAAACAAAATGGAGGCTGGCTGAGGAATTCTGGGAGTTGAAGTCCACAAGTCAGAAAAGGGCCAAGTTTGAAGACCCCTGTCCTATAAGGAATTTAATTGGCTTCCTTTAACAACCCCCTGCGTTTGTTTAACAACGGCCGCAAAAAGAGGTCATACAATCGGTCATGGTCACTGGTGACCCATTTAAGAACCACAACTCATGACCGTAATGATGGTCGTAAATCGAGGACCACCTGCAAATAAATAAATAGCCTGGCAGCCAGAGGAACATTCTTTTTTTTATTATTATTATTATGAGAGCTTCTTATCTTCAAGGCACCCCTTAACCAGAACCCCCCCTCCTTGAAACTCGAGATTCTAAACCAGGGGTCTTCAAACTTGGCCCCTTTATGACTTGTGGACTTCAATACCCAGAATTCCTCAGCCAGGCAGAGGAATTCTGGGAATTGAAGTCCACAAGTCACAAAAGGGCCAAGTTTAAAGAACCCTGTTCTAAACCTTAAAATTCAATATTTTCTCCAGATGCGTCCTGAGTGGTTTTCTCCCGCAATATTTCCCTTTTCCTACACCCAAAGACACACACAACAACTCACCAGGTTTACGAAGGCGGATCTTTTCCACCACTGGGATAGAGTTGTAGTTTGCAAAACGGCCCCAGAGATCTGAATGCTTCACTCTTCAGAAGGTTAACTTCAACTAACTCGGAGAGAACCAACAGATACCAACAGACACACACACACACACAAAAGAAATCACAAGGTTCCATTTATCATATCTATAATACTAATACTACTACTACTACTACTAATAGTTGGAAGGGACCTTGGAGATCATCTAGTCCAACCCACTACTCAGGCTATACCAGGGGTCTTCCAACTTCGCCCTTTCAAGACTTGTGGATTTCAACTCCCAGAATTCTTCAGCCAGGCACGCTGGCTGAGGAATTCTGGGAGTTGAAGTCCACAAATCCTAAAAGGGCCAAGTTTGAAGACCCCTGCCCTATACCATGTCAGACAAACGGCTGTTAAGAAGAGACTGGGCAGCCATTTGTCTGAAATGGTAGAGTTATTCCTACCTGAGCAGGGGGTTGGACTAGATGACCTCCAAGATCCCTTCCAACTTTTTAAAATTATATTATCATGAGCATTATTAATAATAATAATGATAATAACAATGACAACAACAAACAACAAAAATAATGGTAATAATAATGGTAATAATGGTAATAATAATGGTAATAATAATAATCATAATATGATAAAGGGACTTTGTGATTTTGTGTCTGTGTGTGTATGTGTGACTCCAGTCAGACCGGATCCCTGCTAGATCCACTCTCTCAAGCGAACTTGTTATAACTTGTTTTTTCCCCAGAAAGGAGCCGAAAGAGACACAACTGTTGTCGTTCTTTCTCGCAGGCCAGTCTCATCCTTTCCTGCGGCTACTTTATACGCTGATAAAACTGAACCACTGCTTTCTCCTGATCATACGTCTCGATGGAGCCCGGCCGCAGCTGGCGGATTTTCTGGATGGCGTCCACCCCACTGATTTTGTGGGTCTTTGCAAGGTAACAGGCCAACATGGTTCCCGTCCTTCCGAAGCCCAGCAAGCAGTGTACAGCCACAGCCTGGCAGATGGGAAAAAAAAACCACAAACCTTTCAAGGATTTTTTTTCCTTTTATTTTTTGCTTTTTCAATGTGATTTTCATTACAACTTTTAAAACAAAAGATAAAACCTGAAGGCAAACGACTATAAACAATAAGAGAAAAAGAAAGCAAAAACCGTGAGAAAGAAATACAAAGGAATATGAAACCAGTCGCTAAATGAGCCGTTGTAAGTCAAGGACTTCCTGTACGGTCCAAAATGGTGTTTTTTTAACCCTGGAAACTTTAAGAGGGGTGGGCTTCAACTCCCAGGATTCCCCAGTCAGCATGGCTTAGTCTGGGAGTTGAAGCCCACCCCTTTGAAAGCAGTGCTGGCTGGGGGATTCTGGGAGTTGAAGCCCACCCCTTAAAGCATGCAGGCTGGGGAATTCTGGGAGTTGAAGCCCACCCTCTTAAAGCATGCTGGCTGGGGAATTCTGGGCGTTGAAGCCCACCCCTCTTAAAGCACGCTGGCTGGGGGATTCTGGGAGTTGAAGCCCACCCTTCTGAAAGCAGTGCTGGCTGGGGAATTTTGGCAGTTGAAGCCCACCCCTCTTAAAATGAACAAGGCTGAAAAACATTATAACATTCTTAGAAATCTTTGCCATGTCTGTTCCTTGGACTGCCCTACCTCGCAGGGGTGTCAGGCCCATAATGAGTGGGCATCGCTGCGATAGCCAACCCCCCCCTTACCTCCCCCTTGGCGTTGGCGTCTTCCACAATCTGCAGAAACCGCTGGATCTGTTCGGCTGAGGGAGAGCAGAAGTCGGCAATGCGTAGACGGTGCACTTGGATGCCTGGGCAGGTGTCGTGATAAGGCGGGTTCCGCTCAGTGAGCGATACCAGGTGCCGGATCCCGTGGTCATGCATGTACTTGTAATGAGCAGGCAGCCGGGGCATGGCCAGCCCAGCCAACAGGCCTGAGACGACCCAAGAGAAATTGGGGGGCAGCGCCGACGCCATAAGTCCTGCCAGGGCAGAGAAGAAGAATGGATTTAGGCTTTGGGGAAGGGCGAAGGGGGCCTGATTAGAAAGAAGAGTCATATGGTATGACCGTGTTTCTAAACTTTGGCAACTTTTTAAGATGGGTGGACTTCAACTCCCAGAATTCCTCAGCCAGGATGCTCTGGGAGCTGAAATCCACCCATTGTAAGCGTGCTGGCTGGGGAATTCTGGGAATTGAAGTCCACCCATCTTAAAACATGGTGGCTGGGGAATTCTGGGAGTTAGCAACTTATCTTTAAGTTGCTCAAGTCGAGGGACACTGCTCTATGATGTTACTTTGGAGAGAGAGATTAAAATGTATTTAATGATAGGTAGGTAGGTGGGTAGATAGATGGATACAGAGAGACAGACAGACAGATAGGTAGAGAGACCGATAGACAGGCAGCTAGACAGATGGACGGGCGGATGGATATAAAAATAGATAGATAGATAGATAGATAGATAGATAGATAGATAGATAGATAGATAGATAGATAGATAGATAGATAGATAGATAATGAAAGAGCAAGGGGGAGAAGATAGATAGATAGATAGATAGATAGATAGATAGATAGATAGATAGATAGATAGATAGATAGAGAATGAAAGAGCGAGGGGGAAGAGATATATAGATAGATAGATAGATAGATAGATAGATAGATAGATAGATAGATAGATAGATAGATAGATAGATAGATAACGAGAGGAAGGATTGCATTTTGAGGGTTCTATCGCCTCCTTGTGGCCGACCCCAGCAATTGCAGGAGAGGCGAGAAGAAACCAAAATAGCCTCTAATTTATTTATTTTTTTTGCAAATTTTGCAACACTGCCTAAAAATAAACGCCAGCCGGGCGGGGGGGGGAGGAGAGCGTCCCCGGCTGACCTGGAGGCTGTTCTGCGAAAGCACCTCCTCCAAACGACCCTCGCTGACCCGAGAAGGCCCTTGCATCACTCTTCACCCCGATTTGCAAGATTTGCGCCCCCCCCCCGACGCCTCCCGCTCTTCATTCTCCATCGGTCCCTTATCTGGCTTTGCAAGCCTGCACGAACGGCGATCGCTGCGCTTGGGGCTCCATTTAAGCCAGGATGTACCTGAGAGGAAGCGAGGGAGGCGCAAACGCCCCGTTCCCACGTGCTTGGCTTGCCCCGGAACTAGCCGGCTAAACATTCCCACGTGTCGAGCGGCGGGCTGGAAGCCGAAGGGAGCGTCTCTGAACGCCGCTCTCCTCGCCAAGCGAGAAACGGAGAAGGGACCGTCGTCAAACTCTCCACTTTCCCAGCCGCGGAAAAGCTCGACCTCCGGGTTAGATGCTCATCGTGGGGAAAGCTTGGCTGGTTTCATACCACAACTTGCTGAACACGGGTATTCAGTCCGCGATTCGGTTCAAGAAGTTAGTAACCCAGGCTAAGCCACAAAAAAAAAAAAGCTGCATCAAACTAACCAAGTTTGGCCTTTTGGAGAGAAAACAATTCCTTCAACGGAGCAGGTTGTGAGAATCTGGCTTCTTTGTAATCCTCTCTTCTGCATAAGCTGTCACAGAGAGCAGCCTTCAAGAGGACTAGAAACATTCCAGAAGGAACCTTCAAGAGGACTAGAAACATATCAGGACTAGAATCATACCAGGAGCCACCTTCAAGAGGACTAGAAACATACCAGGACTAGAATCATATCAGGAGCCACCTTCAAAAGGATTTTCAAAAGGGCTAGAAAAATACCAGGAGGGGCCTTCAAGAGGACTAGAAACATACAAGGACTAGAATCATATCAGGAGCCACCTTCAAGAGGACAAGGATTTCAAAAGGGCTAGAAAAATACCAGGAGGGGCCTTCAAGAGGACTAGAAACATACAAGGACTAGAATCATACTAGGAGCCACTTTCAAGAGGACAAAGATTTTCAAAAGGGCTAGCTAGAAAAATACCAGGAGTGGCCTTCAAGAGGACTAGAAACAGACCTACTGGTCCCTTGAGTCTACTCTCTGAGTTTTTTTTAAAATTAATGTATTTCTTATTTTTAATTATTATTTTAATATTTTATTCATTTTTTAAATTTTTTTATATTTTTATTTTTCATTTTTGCACTTTTGTCTTCACGATGGACGTGTGCTTATCCAAGCACGTTTAGGGATCATTTATGTTTAAACTCAGCTACGGATCATTTATGTTTAAACTCAATGTCTATGTGGAGATTCTCTGTCATTCCAGGTCACAGTTATCCCGGTAATTGCCGGTAATTTATATTTAAACTCAAGTTACCCAAGGCACTTGGCAGGAGTCACCCTGCTCAGAAATAATCAACTTCAAAAGACGGGAGGCAAATATTGATTCTGCCCCCCCCCCCCCCCGTTGCTTGCAGTTTTTCCACCAAACCCCTTAAAAGACCCCCAAGCCCCTCATCCTGACCCTTGATAAACAGGGTGTCATGTTTCCGACATCCAATGACACGGGGGTTTAATTTCCCATCCCTGGCACGTTGCTTACTTATTAACCCAGCATGAAAAGATAAATTGCAGGACTCACACACCCTGGAAGACTGAGGATTGATGTTTTCCCTCTTTGCACACCGAAGTACACACACACACACACAAACACACATGGACACACACACACACACAAATAGACACCTCTTTCTCGCCGGAGAAAATATTTTGATTAGATTTCAATCAGAAATGGAAGATTATATTGCTGGAAACAGACGCAAAGATAGAACTGAGGGGCGGTTTTAGGAAAGCATGAATTTGACAATGTGTTGGCTTTTCAAAGGAGGGTGGACATTTTTTTTTGAAGGATGTCCAGGTCCCTTATCTGATTCTGAGAACAAAGGTCCTACTCTTCCAAGACCCAGCACCAGAAAGGTGACTTATTGTACAGAGTATAGAACGATAGCCTTGGAAGAGACCTTGGAGGTCATCTAGTCCAACCCCCTGCTCAGGCAGGCAACCCTATAGTACCATTTTGGACAAATGGCTGTTCTTAAAAACCTCCAGTGTTGGAGCATTCACCGCTTCTAGAGGCAGGTTGTTCCACTGGTTAATTGTTCTCAAGAAACTCCTCCTTAGTTCCATGTTGCTTCTCTCCTTGATCAGTTTCCATCCGTTGCTTCTGGTCCTGCCTTCTGGCGCTTTGGAGACTAGCTTGACTCTTGCTTCTTTGGGGCAGCCCCTCAAATATTGGAAGACTGCTATCATGTCCCCCCTGGTCCTTCTCTTCGTCAGCACTAGATATACCCAGTTCCTGCAACCTTTCATCATATATTTTAGCTTCCAGACCTTCCCTCCCCCGCAATTATCTTTGTTGCTCCTCCTTACACACTTTTTAGGGTCTCCACATCTTTTTTTGCATCGTGATGGCCAGAACTGGATGCAATATTCCAAGTGTGCCTTCACCGGTGCAGTATAAAGAGATACGCTTTTTGTGTTGATTGAAGTCCCGATTAAATGACCTCAATTCATTCATGGGGAAACTGGGAAAACAAGTCACAGCTAAGACTGCCCCTTGTTCTAAGTTCAAGAGACACATCAGACAAGTGTCATTCATTTGAGAAGCTGATTCGGTCCTTGAAGGAAGACATTGCTCTACACCCAAGGACATCGAAACAAGACAGCTGCCCAGAGATCCTGCGACCAGCCGGTTCCTCCATCATCCATCAAGATGGTCCTCATTCCTTCCTTCCTTCTTATCCTCGCCTATCTGTCGGGATCCTTTGGCCAAGAAGGTGAGGCTAAGTCCACGTAGGAGCAGCTCCATCTGTCCATTGAGGGTCCTGTGGTCTCCAGACGCTGGGTGGACTTCTCTGAACTTTTCATTGGGGCTGTTGGTCTTCTCTTCACTATCCCACCTTGTTCAGGACCCCAGTGGACAACAATCAATAGTAGTTTCTCCAATGGTGACTCTAAGAGCAATGTAATAGTAAGCTAAGGGTTATCACTAGACATTGGAAGATATAAACACTTGGGACTTACATACTGTTAGAATACTACATTCTAACCACTGGGAAAGGAAGGAAGGAAGGAAGGAAGGAAGGAAGGAAGGAAGGAAGGAAGGAAGGAAGGAAGGAAGGAAGGAAGGAAGGGAAAGGAAAAAAAGAAGATAGCCATAATGCTTAGATTTATCTACCGCTTCACAGAGCTTTACAGCCTTCTTTAAGTGGTTTACAGAGTCAGCTTATTCCCCCCAACAATCTGAGTCCTCATTTTACCGACCTCGGAAGGATGGAAAGCTTGAGTCTACCTGAGCTGGTCAGGATTGAACTCCTGACTGTGGGCAGAGTTAGTCTGCAATGCTACATTCTAACCATTGGGAAGGAAGGAAGGAAGGAAAGAAGGAAGGAAGGAAGGAAGGAAGGAAGGAAGGAAGGAAGGAAGGAAGGAAGGAAGGAAAATAACAATAGCGCTTAGACTTATATACCGCTTCACAGTGCTTTACAGTTCTCTCCAAGCGGCCTCTTGCCCCCAACAATCTGGGTCCTCATTTTACCGACCTCGGAAGGACGGAAGGCTGAGTCAGCCTTGAGCCAGTGAGCTTTTAAGCTTTTAAAGCTCGGCTGGTCTGCTTATTGTCTCTGGGTCCAAAGGAGCCAATGGACCGAGCCCCCCATCACTGCCCTGACCGTTGGCAAAACAGCCGAGGCTTGCTGGACAGGTTTTCCCACGTGATGTTCTAGCTCAGGGCTCCAGACCCTCTTATCTACCCATCATGTTGCTAGCAGCTCTCCTTCCCCTTCCTCTACCCAACTCTAGATAGCTTGTCTCCTAACAGGGATGTCTTGGTCTCCTTCCAGATCTCCAGAAGAAGGTCTTCGTTTTCCCGGCAGCTTCCAGGAAGGCCTTCGTGCTTCTGAAGGTCCCCCTTCAAGAGCCCTTGGCCAGCCTCTCCGTCTGCTTGAAACACCACTGCCCGCTGTCGCGTCCCTACTCCCTCTTCTCTTACGCCACCCGGTCCAGTGACAACGATTTCCTGATTTTCAAGGACAAGCCCAACATGTATTCGGTTACCGTCGGTGGCTCGGTGGTAAATTTCAACATTCCTAAGAAAGACATTCCACAATGGGAACACGTCTGTGTCTCCTGGAGCTCCACAGACGGGTTGATCTATTTTTGGCTCGATGGGGTTCTTCTCCCCCGCTTGGGAACGAAAAAGGGTTACAGGATCAGCCCCCAGGCGCACATTGTTTTGGGACAGGACCAGGACACCTTCGGAGGAGGCTTTGACATCAGCCAATCCTTCATGGGGGACATGTCGGAAGTCAACGTGTGGTCCCAGATGTTGACCACGGATGACGTTCGGTTGCTCATGAAAGGGGACACCGTGCCTAAAGCCTTGGCCAGCTGGAACTCTTTTAATTATACCCTTCACGATTATGTGGTCGTTAAGGACGAAGTGCCTTAGCTTCCCTCAAAATGGAAGGAAAAAAAAGAGAAGAAAAGAAACAAAAGAAAAAGGAATTTTCTTTGGGTAAAAAAAGAGAAACGTGTAGTTTTTGTGCATTGCAAATTTGAAGTAGGTCGTGATTGATATGTAGATGATCTGTGCCCGGAAATCACGAGCGGGCATTCTAATCTCCTGGCAATAAAATTAGCTGCTTGTTCATCATGATACACTGAATTTTTCTCTTCTGTTTATTTTAATTGCACAATGTGGATCAAAAGAATAGCAATAGCAATAACCTTTAGACTTATATACCGCTTCACGGTGCTTTCCAGCCAGCTCTAAGCAGTTTATAGAGTCAGCATATGTGTCCCCAACAGTCCGGGTCCTCATTTTATTGACGTCGGAAGGATGGAAGGCTGAGTCAACCTTGAGCCAGTCGGGATCAAACTCCAGGCTGTGGGCAGAGTTAGCCTGCAATGCTGCATTCTAATCACTGGGAGGGAAGGGAGGAAGATAGCAACAGGATCTAGACTTATATACCGCTTCACAATGCTTTCATAGCCCTCTCTAAGCAGTTTACAGCCTATATTGCCCCCCACGGGGTGCGAAAACGCAGTGGTGGCCCGTTTTTCCGCCTTGTGGCGCAGCGCCCAATTTTTCCACCCCACAGCTGCAGCGCTAGCACAAGTGGGAAGGTGTGAACCACACGTGTACACAATGGCCACCCTGTCCCATGGCCCAGTGGCCAGCACTACCGGGCCGTGGTGCCCAGGTTGGGGACCCCTCTTCTACGGTTTATCACTGACATCTGAGCTTATGATATCATTGCCATAAAATAAATTGGGCAATTTGCTTTATAGATAGTTCTCAACTTACAACCATTCGTTTAGTGAGCGTTGGTAGTTACGTCACTGAAAAAAACCTTGTCCTCGCACTTGCGACCGTCCTAGCCATGCCATGGTCATGTGATCCAAAATTGGGTGCTTGCCAACTGACAGGGGTTTAAGACTGTTATAGCATCCTTTGTGACCTTCCCAACCAGCTTCCAACATACAAAGTTAATGGAGAAGCTGGACTTTCTTATTAACTATGGATAACATGATTTGCTGAACAGCCACAGCTAAAAAAGATTTTAAAACTGGGTGTGACTCACTTAAAAACCGTCTTGCTTAGCAATGTCAGTCATAAGTCACAGGCTGAGGGACCTTCAGAGGACAGACACGACTGTGGCCTCCCTTGAATTAAAATAAAAGGGATCGCAAAATGAACTCACATAAAAGCGATAGTAAAATTGGGTCAGGTCCAAAAGCTGACGTGACTTGAGCGGTTGGAATATTCTGGTCCAGGATCCAGAACGGAGCCTTAGGGATAATCACTGCCTTTGTTTTAGGTTTAAGAGGAATATCAGAGCAACGTCGTCAGGTGAGGTGACTTAAGGGCTTTGTTTATTTATCTAGGGATCAATCAATCAGACTTAGAGACTATCAGGATGGTTGATTTGGTCCTGATTAAATGAAATCAGTTAATTCATGGGGAAACTGGGACAACAAAAGGGACGGTTCAACCGGCCCCTTGTTCTAAGTTCAAACACGCATCAGAGAAGGGTCATCATTCTGAGAAATTGATCTGGTGCTGGAAGGAGGACATATCAGTCAATCCAGAGTCCTGTGACCAGTGGGTTCATCCATCATCCACCAAGATGATCCTCCTTCCTTCCCTCCTTCTTATCCTCGTCTACCTGTCAGGACTCTTTGCTCAAGAAGGTGAGGCTTAAACCCATGTAGGAGCAGCTCCACCTGTCTATTGAAGGTCTTGTGGTCTCCAGAAGCTGGTTGAAACCCACCAACACCAGGCATTGCTCTCAATGGGGCTGTTGGTCTTCTGTTCATGGTAGAGCTTGCTGGTCACGTAGAATGTCAGATTGTAAGTTTGTGAGTGGATTACCTCACAAGATCCTTCTGAGGTGGGTTCAGACAAAGACTTTCCATGAGTATGGGGGGATCTGAACTCCTGTCCACGTGAGCGTGATTGATAGGTAGATGATATCAAAATTATAAGTGGGCGTTCTAATCTCCTGGCAATAAAATAAGGTGTTTATTCAACATACGCTGAATTGTGTCTTTTTCTTCTTTAAATAGCTGGAAAGAATCTGGGGCTTTCCTTCAGGTGGCTGCAAGTTTTCTCTTTGTTACACGGGGACTGACCAGAACAAGCACACATCCAGCAAATTCACCCTATGCTTAGACTACTGCAATAGGCGTTTCCAGGGGCTGCCCTTGAAGATGACTCCAGAACAGGCGTGTCCAATCCCCAGCCTGCAGGGCTGCATGAGGCTCTGGACAGCTAATAATGCATGCCAGCAAGACTATAAACATACACACATACATACATACATACATACATACATACGGACAGGCATTGAAATAGATAAATAGATAGATAGATAGATAGATAGATAGATAGATAGATAGATAGATGATAGATAGATAGATAGATAGATAGATAGGTAGGTAGATAGATAGATATGGAGGGAATAGATGTATGATAGATAGATAAATAGATATAGAGATAGAGATAGATAGATAGAAAGAAAGAAAGATATAGATAGATAGATAGATAGATAGATAGATAGATAGATAGATAGATAGATATGGATGGAATAGATGGATGATAGATAAAGATAGATAGGTAGATAGATAGATAGATAGATAGATAGATAGATAGATAGATAGATAGATAGATATGGATGGAATAGATGGATGATAGATAGATAGATATAGAGATAGATAGATAGATAGATAGATAGATAGATAGATAGATAGATATGAGATAGATGATAGATAAATAGATAGATATGGATGGAATAGATGATAGATAGATAGATAGATAGATAGATAGATAGATAGATAGATAGATAGATAGATAGATAGATAGATTCCTCAGCGGGTGGAGCCATCATCAAGCCTTCCGAGTGGAGACGTGGAACCCACACATCTGACTTGGGCCTATTAAGGGAAGGATGACATTTTGACCTGGACAAAACCATGGGGAAGATAAGAATATCTCGGGCAGGGATCCAGAATGGTGACTACGGATAATAACTGTCTTTGTTTTAGGTTTAAGAGGAACATCAAAGCAACGTCATCAAGTTGACGTGACTTGAGGTGTTTGTTTATTTATCTGTAGATCAATCCATCCGATTCACGGGCAATTAGGATGGTTGACTTAATCCTGATTAAATGTTATCATTTCGTTCATGAGGACACTGGGAAAAAAACAAAAGGAACAGTTCAGCCTGCCCCTTGTTCTAAGTTCGAGAGAAACATCAGAGAGGTGTCATAATTTGAGAAGCTGAGAGGAGGACACAGACATCAGAACGAGAGTTCCTGTGACCAGCCGGTTCCTCCATTGTCCACCAAGATGGTCCTCCTTCCTTCCCTCCTTCTTATCCTTGCCTGCCTGTCAGGATCCTTTGGCCAAGAAGGTGAGGCTTAAACCCATGTAGGAGCAGCTCCATGTGTCCATTGAGGGTCCTGTGGTCTCCAGAAGCTGGGTGGACTTCTCTGAACTTTTCATTGGCATTACTCTCAATGGGGCTGTTGGTCTCCTGTTCGTGGTAGAGCTTGTTGGTCATGTAGAATGTCAAATTGTAAGTCTGTGGGCTGATTTCCTCACAGGTTCCTTCTGAGTTGGGTTCAGCCAAAGCCCAGGTAGAGTTTCCATCAGTAAGGGGGGAACCTGAACTCTTGGTCCACCATCTTCTCACTGATGGTCTTGGTTGAGAAGAAGCTGGCCTGGTGTTTCAGAGTTTCAGAGGCCAAGTAGAAGTCCTTCAGACCTCATGCTGAGTTCAACACCTTTGTCGCTATCATACTCTATTCCAGGTGTATGGACAACAACACACCGTGGTTTCTCCGATGAGCAATTTAGTAGTACGTTAAAGCAGGGTTAGTAGATACTGAAAAAGATACAGGTAGTCCTTAACTTATAGCCATTTTTTTTAGCGACCATTCCATGCTACAACGGCACTGAAAAAACCAACTTACAAGCACTTATGGCCAAGTCAAGTCAACGGGGGAAGCCAGATTTACTTAACGACCGTGTCGTTCCCTTAGCAACTGCCTTCTAGTCCCAACTGTGGTCGTAAATTGAGGACTACCTCTAAAGAACTCTCTTTTTGAAAAATCTCAGTTGCTTTTATCACCCTATCACGATTTCGTTGGGCATTTTATAGTCCAGCATTTTATAGCAATATTTCCAGTGCAATTACAAAGATCAGGGTTTATTAGGTGGCTGACCCGGAGTAGCTGTTGAGTAATTTTTTCCTCCTCTGTTAAAAGGGACGCATTAAACACAACCCCAAAACTTGATATTTATCTCTGAAGAGGAAAAATCTGCCCTTTCCTCTAATTCAAACCCCGGTGTCGTTTCCACCTTGCCATTTTGCTGGACGTAAAAAGGCCACAAATTGAGCAAGAGGAACTTATGACTCAGACTTAACAAAGCACCTAAATTTAAAATTAGGCAGCAATCAATTAAAAAAGCACAACAGAACTAGGAAGGCAGCTGCCCGCGCTGGCATTCTCATCGAAAATAAAAACTGAATTAGAAGTTGAAGCGGCCACTTCGACTCCAATTAAATAAATACAAGAAAAATATCAGATTTCAAATACTGATGCAATAAGAGGGCAAATACAAACTTGGCGCAGCCAAATTAAATGAGGCTTGTGGTCAGAGGTGCTCACATTGGTTCACACTTGCGTACCGAGGGCTGCCTTCTACTTTTCTCTTAAATTGGATTTTTTTTTTTTTTTTAAAAAAAATTCTGAATGTGAATTGCATCCAACGGAACATGGTGCAGTTATTTGTGGGAGAACTTTTGCCCTGAAATTAGCATTGATAACTGCGGAATTTGGCCATCTTTGGGGTCTCTGTACTAGTGTTACTAAGCAGTTCCAGGCAGTTTGGAAGAGATTTGGGTACTAACCTGTTTGCTTGAGGAGCTTTTTATGTTCTGCTTTTAACTCTGTTTGCTTGAGCTGATAACAGAGCTTAAAATCCCTTTATTGGCTTACTGTCTCTGGATCCAAAAGAACCAATGGCCGGGGCATCTGATCACTATCCTGACCCTGTTCCCTTCTATTCTGTTCTATTCTGTTCTGTTCTGTTCTACTCTATACTCTACTCTACTCTACTCTATCCCATCTGTTCTAGTCTAGTCTAGTCTAGTCTAGTCTAGTCTAATCTATATTCTAATTTCTATTCTAATTTCTATTCTATTCTATTCTATTCTATTCTATTCTATTCTATTCTATTCTAATTTCTATTCTATTCTATTCTATTCTATTCTATTCTATTCTATTCCATCCCATCCCATCCCATCCCATCCCATCCCATCTATATTCTGTTCTGGCCTGTCCTGTCCCGTCCCATCCCATCTATATTCTGTTCTGTCCTGTTCTATTCTGTCCTGTTCTACTCTCTACTCTACTCTACTCTACTCTACTCTACTCTACTCTACTCTACTCTACTCTACTCTACTCTACTTTATCCCATCCGTTCTAGTCTAGTCTAATCTATATTCTAATTTCTATTCTATTCTATTCTATTCTATTCTATTCTATTCTATTCTATTCTATTCTATTCTATTCTATTCTATCCCATCCCATCCCATCCCATCCCATCCCATCCCATCCCATCCCATCCCATCTATATTCTGTTCTGTTCTGTCCTGTTCTAATCTAGTCTAGTCTAGTCTAGTCTTTATTGCTCAGGGCTCAAATTCCTCTTATCTCTCCACTGTTTTTAGCAGCTCTCCTTCACCTTAACAACGTTGTGTTTTTAGCTACTCTCCTTCCCTCCGGTCGTAGGCCGGTGTCCTGCTAACGGAGATGTCTTTTGTCCCCTCGCAGATCTCCAGAACAAGGTCTTTGTTTTCCCGGCCGCTAACAAGAAGGCCGCCGTATATCTGAACGTCTCCCTTCAGGAGCCCTTGACCAACTTCACCGTCTGCCTGAGATACTTCCCCTTGCAGTTCCGTCCCTATACCCTCTTCTCTTACTCTACCAAGCACAAGAGCAAGGCTTTCCAGATTGTTAAGCCCAACTCTCACACGTATAACCTCGTAGTAGGTGGGCTGAGCCAAGTTATCGGGCCTTTGAAGAGCTTCGATGCGGAGTGGCAGCACGTCTGCGTGGCCTGGGACTCCACTAGTGGCGTGGTCCATTGCTGGCTCAACGGAAAGCTTCTCCCTCGGTTTGTAATGAGGAAGGGTTACCAGATGGGCCAAAACGGAACCATCTTCCTGGGGCATGAACTGGATTCCTGGGGCAAGAGAGATTGCTTCTTGGGTGAAATGGCGGATGTCAACATGTGGCTCCGGGTTCTGACAGAGGAAGAAGTTAATTCGGTCAAGAAAAACGACGACATCCCTAATGCTTGGCTCAGATGGAGAGCCTTTAATTACACCGCTCAGGGTGGGGCCTGCGTCGAAAAGGCCCTGCACCAGGTTTTCTGAGCGCCTGATAGGCAGGCCCTGCGTTCGAGAAAGCAAACAAACAAACAAACAAAAAAAATACGGAAGAAAAGCAATTTTCTTCGGGAAAAATAATAATAATCCGTAGCTTTGCAAATGCATTGCAGGTAGCTTGAAATAGATCGTGATTGATCTGTAGACGGTCCACGCCCGCCAATCCCGAAGGGGGGGGCGTTCAAATCTCCTGGCAATAAAATTAGCTGTTTATTCATGATTCATTGGATGTTTTTTTTTCCCTTTGGTTTTTAAACTGAAAAAAAGAATCCCTGTGGGAGGGGATTGTGCCCTTTTGTGGCAAGAGAGTTGGCCGGAAAGCCTGCCAGTTCACCCGAATAATAATAATAATAATAATAATAATAATAATAATAATAATAATAATAATAATTCGTTTAACAACTGTGGCTCTGGTTGAGGAATCATGGAACTGTGGCTGAACGGGGTCCCTTTGCCCCCGAAAGGGGATCGGAAAAGGTTACGCCGTGAGTCAGAATGCGTCCATCGTCCTGGGCCAGGATCAAGATACCATGGGGGGTGGGTTTGACAGCAGAGAATCCCTGGTGGGGGAGCTGACCGATTTGTATTTCTTCAACCGGTTGTTGACCCCCCAAGAAGTAGCTTTGCTGAGGAAGAACCTCTTTGCAGCCAAAGCTGTCATTAGCTGGAGAGAGTTGTCCTTCCAGATCAAGGGCTACGTGGAGATTAAGCCCCTTCTGTTCGGATCAGCTTGAAAGATGGCCTAATGAAAAAAAAAAAAATGGGGATATTGCATTGAAAATTTAAAAAATGAAATACCCAATACTCGTTTTGTCTCCTTTGCAGTTGCTTCTTTGCTCACGTTGCGCCATTGTATCAGGTTAGGACAGCCACTCGTTCGTTTTCGATAGTTGTCCTGCGCAAAGAAGTGAGTCTGTGCGGTGAACAATCATAAAGCAATTGGCAAGAGATTGCAATATTTTTCAGAAGAGGATGCTCATAGCTATAATCCTCTTCCTTCTGCTTCTCCTCCTTTTCCATCCCAGTTGTCTGCCTTCTTTCCTTTCTTTGCATTAAAGTTTGCTGGTCATCTGTTCCTTTTGTGTCTAGAGTTTGTCGGCAGCTAGCAAAGGACAGTTGACACTCCTTTTTTCTTTCTTTCCTTTCTTCCTTCTGTCCACCTTTTCCTTCCTTCCTTCCTTCCTTCCTTCCTTCCTTCCTTCCTTCCTTCCTTCCTTCCTTCCTTCCTTCCTTCCTTCCTTCCTTCCTTCCTTCCTTCCTTTCCTCCCTCCCATTCTATTCTTCTTTCCTTCCTTCCTCCTTCCCATTCCCAGCGTTTCCAAAGAGTGGGAAAGGTCTGCCCTCTGGTGTCCTACCTTGGCATCTACACCTTAAAAGAAAAAGGCTGGCTATACCAAAGGTCTGCAAGAGGGGCGCCCTCTGGTGGGAAGTAAAAAAAGGGCAGGATCCAATGTGTGGGTCAGCCAGTGGGACCAGAGGTTTTGTCTTCCAAGCTCTTAGAAGACACTTAGAAGTATCAGATGGAGAACTGAAGTCCATCACGTGCTGGAAACATCGTCCAGGAACACATCCGAAGATGAAGCAAAACTCAACGGAAGGGCCCTCCAAACTATTTTTCTTGTTCACCTAATCAGTTAAAAAAATTAAAAAAATAAAATTTGAGCCCCTAAATATATCTCTACACATGCAGTAGTTATCTAACACAGTGTTGTGATTCCTCGCCAGCCAGTGGATCCGGCAGCTGAGTCTGAGGAATCACAGGAGGAGGAGGAGGAGGAGGGGCCTGGAGTGACATCAGAGTCAGAGGAAGTTGGAGGAGGTGTATCCACCTGAGTTGGAAGAAAGAAGAAGAATAAAATAAAATAATAAAATAAAATAAAACTAAATTAAACTAAAATAAAATAATAAATAAAATAAAATAAAATTTGACCCCCTAAACATATCTACCCATGCAGTAGTTACCTAACAGGCAGTGTACATTAGAAAGCCTGTTGCAATGTAAATATTCTCTTGGGGAAGATCCAAGGAAGAAACATATGGTCAATGCTCCCATTTATTCCAAGTTCAAGAGAAACACGCAAGCAACACCCCAGAATTTCACCATTTAAAGGGGGGATTTGGTCCTGCAAGGAGGACACAGCTCCACACCCTCTCTTCTAGAGGAGCCCGTCTTTGTTCAGCTGAATACAAACGTAAAGCCTGAAGGCAACTTTTGGTTTCTTGTATTTTTTTTGTCAAGCAAAGCCTCAGAACGGGCACAGCAGTTACCTAACCCGTTGTGTACATTAGAAAACATGTTGCAATGTAAATACTCTCCTGGGGAAGGTCCAAGGAAGAAATGTACGGTCAATGCTCCTGTTTGTTCCGCGTTCAAGAGAAATATGCAAGCAACACCCCAGAGTTTCACCATTTGAAGTGGGGATTCGGTCCTGCAAGGAGGACACGGCTCCACACCCACGGACATCGGCACAAGCGTTCCTGCGACCAGCCAGTTCCTCCATCGTCTACCAAGATGGTCCTCCTTCCTTCCCTCCTTCTTATCCTCGCCTGCCTGTCGGGATCCTTTGGCCAACAAGGTGAGGCTCAAACCCATGTAGGAGCAGCTCTATCTGGCCATTGAGGGTCCTGTGGTCTCCAGAAGCTGGATGAAGTTGGTTGAGCTTTTCACTGGCATTGCTCTCAATGGGGCTGTTGGTCTTCTGTTCATGGTAGAGCTAGTTGATCATGGAGAATGTCAAATTGTAAGTCTGTGGGCTGATTTCCACACAAGATCCTTCTGAGATGGGTTCAGCCAAAAAGTTTCCATGAGTAAGGGGGGATCTGAACTCCTGTCCACCAACTCCTTCCTTCCTTCCTTCCTTCCTTCCTTCCTTCCTTCCTTCCTTCCTTCCTTCCTTCCTTCCTTCCTTCCTTCCTTCCTTCCTTCCTTCCTTCCTTCCTTCCTTCCACCTGTTCCCATGCTTGGCCCCCTCTTGGAGTGTTTGATGAGTGATTCAAACTTACCCTCCTTCCTTATACTTGAACTGAGCAGAATACTTTCTTCAAGACCCCCTAGGTAGGTGACGTAACTGGATGGCCTCTCCACTTTACTTTGTGCCGGCCCATGTGAAATGGGCCATGTGAAATTAACCTACTCCTCAGGCTGGGTTCCAGCTGACCAGGATCTCTTTTGTCTCCTTTTAGATCTCCAGAACCGGGCCTTTGTTTTCCCAGCACCATCTGACACGGCCACTGTGCATCTCCACATTTCCAACAAGCAACCCTTGACCAAGCTGACTGTCTGTTTGAAACACTACACTGTCCTGTCCCGTTCGTATGGCCTCTTCTCTTATGCCACCCAGTCCAGTGACAATGATTTCCTGATCTACAAGAGCCAGGCCGACCAATATTCCATTTACGTTGGGGGTTCAGCAGTAAATTTCAAGGTTCCTCTGAAGGAGAAACCGAGCTGGGATCACATCTGTGTGTCCTGGGACTCCAGCAATGGGCTGGTCCAGTTCTGGCTCAACGGAGAACCTTTCCCACGGCAGGGTGTGAAAAAGGGCTACAGCATCAGCCCGGAGGCCTCCATTGTGCTGGGGCAGGACCAGGACTCCTTCGGAGGGGGGTTTGAGAGCGTCCAATCCTTTGTGGGGGAGATTACAGAGGTCAAAATGTGGCCCTGGGCGCTGAACCTTGCTGAGATTAGAATGGTCAGGAACAACATTGAGCTTCATGATCCTCTGATATACTGGAGATCCGTGAACTACACCATCAAGGACGAGGTATTTTTAGAGGAATTCTTGAGCCCCCAATGGGTATGCACCTAAGTTGGAAGAAAGAAGAAAGAAACAAAAAGAAAAGAAAAGAAGAAAAGAAAATTCTCTTTTTTGTGTGAAAAAAAATATCTATATTTCTGCAATGGGATGCCAATTGCTCAAGTAGCCGTTGATGAATTACAGGCAGGTGATCCATGCTTGAAAGGCAGGCGTGAGCAATAAAATAAACTTCTTTTGTCATGTTCGGCTGCGTGTTCCTTGTGGGTTCTTCTTATTGGCGTAGGTGCCCTCAGTAGCACCATAAAGATAGCACAGATAGAATTGTGCAAGCCTTGGCACCAGTCTCTCTCTGCATTTTTCTTCCTTCTTCCCTTTCTCTCTTTGTTCTCCTCCCTCCCTCCCTCCCTCCTGAGTCCCCATGTATCCACCTGAGTTGGAAGAAAGAAGAAGAATAAAATAAAATAAAATAATAAAATAAAATAAAATAATAAAATAAAATAAATAAAATAAAATGAATAAAATAATAAAATAAATAAAATAAAACTAAATTAAACTAAACTAAAATAATAAATAAAATAAAATAAAATTGGACCTCCTAAATATATCTACCCATGCAGTAGTTACCTAACAGGTTGTGTACATTAGAAAGCTTGTTGCAACATAAATATGCCCTTGGGGAAGGTCCAAGGAAGAAACATATGGTCAATGCTCCCGTTTGTTCCAAGTTCAAGAGAAACACGCAAGCAACACCCCCGGGTTTCACCGTTGAAACCCAGGGGGGATTTGGTCCTGCAAGGAGGACACGGCTCCACACCCTGTCTTTTAGAGGAGCCCGTCTTTGTTCTCCTTTGATCTTTAATTTGTTTCATCAAATTCACCTCTTCCATAGCAAAACCCACTTTTTGATCTATACTCCATCTTTCTAATCATTGCCTATACTGGAACCAAGAATAAATAATATTTTCTTGCATTAATTCCTCCATAGATTAGCTCTTTTCTTGTCATGTTCCTTGTGGATTCTTCTTATTGGTGTAGGGCCCGCAGGAGCACCATGAAGCATCTACAGATAGAATTTTGCAAGCCTTGGCATGAGTCTCTCTGCATTTTTCTTATTCTTCCCTTTCTCTCTTCGTTCTCCTTCCTTCCTTCCTTCCTTCATCCCTCCCTCCCTCCCCCAAGGCATATCCACCTTAGAAGAAAGAATAGAATAGAATAGAATACGGAAGAAAAGCAATTTTCTTTGGGAAAAATAATAATAATAATAATCTGTAGCTTCACAAATGCATTGCAGGTAGCTTGAAATAGATCGTGATTGATCTGTAGACGGTCCACGCCCGCCAATCACGAGGGGGGGGGGCGTTCAAAACTCCTGGCAATAAAATTAGCTGTTTATTCATGATTCATTGGATGTTTTTTTTTCCCTTTGGTTTTTAAACTGAAAAAAAGAATCCCTGTGGGAGGGGATTGTGCCTTTTTGTGGCAAGAGGGTTGGCCAGAAAGCCTGCCAGTTCACCCTAATAATAATAACAACAACAACAACAACAACAATTCGTTTAACAACTGTGGCTCTGGTTGGGGAAAGTTGTGATTGGGTGGAAGGACCACTTGCTAGAATAGAATAGAATAGAATAGAATAGAATAGAATAGAATAGAATAGAATAGAGTAGAGTAGAGTAGAGTAGAGTAGAGTAGAATATAGAATAGAATAGAATAGAATAGAATAGAATAGAATAGAATAGAATAGAAATAAGGAATGGAATGGAATGGAATGGAATAGAATAGAATAGAATAGAATAGAATAGAATAGAATAGAATAGAATAGAATAGAATAGAAATAAGGAATGGAATGGAATGGAGTAGAGTAGAGTAGAGTAGAGTAGAATATAGAATAGAATAGAATAGAATAGAATTAAAAGAATAGAATAGAATAGAATAATAAAATGAAATAAAATAAAAAAAATGTCAAACTGTAAGTCTGTAATATACAGGTCGACCTCATTTAACAACTGATCACTGATCAACTGTCTGACAATATAACAGAGCACGCAAAAGATACTTGGGAGCCTGAGCCAGAATTTTCACAGCTGCGCGCATGCGCGCGCGCGCGCACACACACACACACATGAAACCACGTTTTGGGAGCTTGGGCATCAGCTCACCTTTGCAACCAGCTGCAACATTTGGTGATCACATGAACCCAATTGAGGTCATTTTCTTTTGCCAGTTTCCAGCCTGGTTGATGACCCCGCTGTCTCTGGCCACTTGCAGAACCATGGGTGCAAGGTCATAACAGGACAGCAAAGAAAACACCCCATATCCTAACCCACTCGGGAACATATGGGAAACACGCCAAAGGGAACAACTTTAGCTACTTCCGCTTTCTTCCTTCTCATGTACAGAGTGCCAGCCTTAAAAGAGCAAAGTCTTTATCTTATGTGGGTCAGCTTTGCTGGGTGGATTGCTTATGTAATCAAGGACGGTATAAAAATAAAGGCTTTTCTGATATTTGGGACTTTTTCCTCTCTTCTAGAGGAGCCCATCTTTGTTCAGCTGAATAAAAATGTAAAGCTTGAAGGCAACTTCTGGTTTCTTGTATTTTTTTGTCAAGCAAAACTTCAGAACCGGCACAGCAGTTACCTAACACGTTGTGTACATTAGAAAGCATGTTGCAACGTAAATATTCTCCTGGGGAAAGTCCAGGTGAGAAACTTACGGTCAATACCCCTGTTTGTTCCAAGTTCAAGAGAAACATGCAAGCAACACCCCAGAGTTTCACCATTTAAAGAGGGGATTTGGTCCTGCAAGGAGGACACGGCTCCACACCCACGGACATTGGCACAAGTGTTCCTGCAACCAGCCGGTTCCTCCATCGTCCGCCAAGATGGTCCTCCTTCCTTCCTTCTTTCTTGTCCTCGCCTGCTTGTTGGGATCCTTTGGTCAACAAGGTGAGGCTCAAACCCAAGTAGGAGCAGCTCCTTCTGGTCTCCAGAAGCTGGGTGAAGTCGGTTGAGCTTTTCACTGCTGTTTCTCTCAATGGGGCTGTTGGTCTCCTGTTCATGGTAGAGCTTGTTGGTCATGGAGAATGTCAAATCGTAGATTTGTGGGTTGATTTCCACACAAGATTCTTCTGAGGTGGGTTCAGTCAAAGCCCAGGTAGAGTTTCCATGAGTAAGGAGGCATCTGAACTCCTGATCACCATCTCCTCCCTCCCTCCCTCCCTCTCCTTCCTTCCTTCCTTCCTTCCTTCCTTCCTTCCTTCCTTCCTTCCTTCCTTCCTTCCTTCCTTCCTTCCTTCCTTCCTTCCTTCTTCCCTCGGTGTCCGATGCATGTTTCAAACTTTCCCTCATTTCCTGTACTTGAATTGAGAGGAACAACTTCTTCAGGACCCCCTAAGAATCTGAGTCAATGATTCCTGGATAGATGACTTAATTTGATGTCCTCTCTGCTTTTCCTCTCTGTTGGGCCAAAACAGACTGTGGGAAACTAGCTCTGCTCCACAAGTTCTCAGGCTGGTGTCCTGCTGACCCGGATCTCTTTCCTCTCCTTCTAGATCTCCGGAACAAGGTCTTTGTTTTCCCAAGATCATCTAGCACGGCTGCTGTGCTTCTCCACGTCTCCAACTAGCAACCCTTGACCAAGCTGACCGTCTGTTTGAGACACTACACCCTCCTGTCCTATTCGTATGGCCTCTTCTCTTACGCCACCCGGTCAAATAGCAACGATTTTCTGATTTTCAAGAATGCTTACAAAGAATATTCCATTTACGTTGGTGGTTTCTACGTAAATTTCAAGGTTCCTGAGAAGGCTGAACCGAGCTGGGATCACATCTGTGTGTCCTGGGACTCCAGCAACGGGCTGGTCCGGTTCTGGCTCAACGGAAAACCTTTTCCTCGGCGGAGTCTGAAAAAGGGCTACAGCATCAGCCAGGAGGCCTCCATCATGCTGGGGCAGGACCAGGACTCCTTCGGAGGGGGCTTCAATATCAACGAATCCTTTGTGGGGGAGATCTCAGACGTCAACATGTGGTCCTCGGTGCTGAGACCATCTATGGTTAGATTGTCCAAGAACAACATTGAGATTTCTAACCCTCTGATTACCTGGAACTCCCTGAGCTACACCATCAAGAACGAGGTCTTTGTGGACGATTTCCTGAGTCCCCAAGGGGAATGCATCTGTTGAAAGAAAGAAAGAAGAAAGAAAAGAAAATACTCTTTGGAAAAAAACCCTATATTTCTGCAATGGGATGCCAATCGCTCAAGGAGATGTTGATGAATTACAGGCAGGTGATCCATGCTTGAAAAGCTGGTGTGAGCATGCTGGTTTCTTCATCAATAAAATTAACTTCTTTTGTCATGCTCGGCTGCGTGTTCCATGTGGGTTCTTCTTATTGGAAAAAAAAATCCTAAAGGCAGGTGTAGGGCCCAACATACCACCACAAAGCATCCAGAGATAGACTCTTGCAAGCCTTAGCATGAGTTTCTCTGTATTTTTGTTCCTTCTTCGCTTTCTCTCTATGTCCTCCCTCCCTCCCTTTCTTCCTTCTTCCCTCCCTCCCATCCTCGTCTCCCTCCCTCCCTCCATCCTCTCTCTCTCTCTCTCTCTGTCTCCTTTCCTACCCACCCTCTTTCTTTTTTCCTTCCTTCCTTCCTTCCTTCCTTCCTTCCTTCCTTCCTTCCTTCCTTCCTTCCTTCTTCCCTCCTTCCCTCTTCCTTCCTTCTTCCCTCCCTCCCTCTTCCTTCCTTCCTTTTTCCCTCCCTCGCTCTTCCTTCCTTCCTCTCTCTCTCCCTCCCATCTTCCTTCCTTCCTTCTTCCTTCCCTCCCTCTTCCTTCCTTCCTTCTTCCCTCCCTCCCTCTTCCTTCCTTCCTCTCTCTCTCCCTCCCATCTTCCTTCCTTCCTTCTTCCTTCCCTCCCTCTTCCTTCCTTCCTTCTTCCCTCCCTCCCTCTTCCTTCCTTCCTCTCTCTCTCCCTCCCATCTTCCTTCCTTCCTTCCTTCCTCTCTCTCTCCCCCATCCCTTCCTTTCCTTCCTTCCTTCCTTCCTTCCTTCCCTTTCTTCCTTCCTTCCTTCTTCCTTCCCTATCTTCCTTCCTTCCTCTCTCTCTCCCTCCCATCTTCCATCTCCTCCCTCCCTCCCTCCCTTCCTCCCTTCCTTCCTTCCTTCCTTCCTTCCTTCCTTCCTTCCTTCCTTCCTTCCTTCCTCAGCTCAGCCTCTTCTCATCTTGGCCCACAAAATCTCTTGAACTGTCCAATGTGTGACTCAAGCTTGCCCCCTCCCCTTCCTTGAAAAGAGATGAACACTTCCTTCAAAACCACGTAATAAACTCTTCTACCCCTCTTTATGAAAGGATTTGGAGACAAAACAGCCAGCCAGGAAATGGCCTCTGTTTATGCTTGAACCGCTGAGTGTCCCAAAATCCAAGATCGATTGCCTTAGAAAGACAGAATCCACCCCTTCTTTCTCCACCCATCGTCTTCTAGTCCAGGAATGTCCATCCTTGGCAAGGCCTGGGAATCTGAACTCCCAGAATTCCCCAGCCAGTCGGTTGGACCCCCTTGTCCAGTCTTTTTTCTGACCTTCAAAGGAACATCCCACCCAGGACACCCCAAAAATGGCAACCGAGATACGTCTGAGGGTGAAGCAAACCTCAATGGAAGGGCCCTCCAAACTCTTTTGATTGTACACCTCATCAGTTAAAAAAAATGAAATGAAATAAAAATTGAGCCCCTAAATATATCTCTACCCA